TTTGTCATCAGCCTAGCCATATAAGAAAAGTATTAAGGGAGAGGGCTACAGCTGGGATAAAAATTGAATAAACTGTAATTAATATAAAAAATAAAAATTTAATAAAAAAGTATTAGAAAAAAAAAACTATCAAGAAAATATACAAAAAGACTCACCCAGATAAAAGAGGATCAAACCCTCTCCATTCAAAGATCCACCAAACCACAAAGACACAGAAGAGATAAAAATCAAATATATAATGGGAAGACAGCTGGAATATAAAGTGAATAAATTGTAATAAATTAAAAAAAAAATTTTTTAAATAATGGGAAGAACAAGGAACAAGCTGACAGGATTATGTCATTCACAATAATAACCTTAAATAGAGAGAGAATAAATCCACCAAATAAAAAAATACAGACTAAACAGATTTAAAAAAAACAACAACAACCAAGGGCTGATATGTTGCCAATAAGAAATTCATTTGAGTAACACACAGTTCAAGTGAATAGAAGAAAAAAAGATGTACCACAACAAAGAGCAAGTTGATGTACTTACATAAAACAGATATTAAGTAAAATAAACAAAAACCTATATAGTGGTTTTGAAGACAGTCGCTGCTCTTCTAGAGAGCCTGGGTGAGATACCCAGAACCTACATAATGACTCACAACTGTAGTGGAAGTTTTTGTTTCTTTTAAAAAACAGTTATGTTATGTAAACAGGTTTTTGTTTTAATCCCAAGTGTGGGATATAAGACTGCTTTAGTTTGTCCACAGCTGATAATTGCCTTGTGTGGCTTGGAAAAGGGTATGGTCTTAACCAGCTGCAGTCAGTTTAATTCTGGGGACTATAAGAGGGTATAAATACCACAGCCCGGAGAAAGAGGAAGAATGCTCCTCCAAGAAGCAAGAAGGCTGGTGCTGTGTTTGCTGTTGCTGGATTGTTAGATATTTTGACGACTAAGACTGGTATTTTTCCAAAAAACGCAAAGACCTAACTAGTCAGAACTAAGTCAAAGAGGTCTATGTCTCCTGTCTCTTCTAACCTTCTTTCTCTCCTATCTAGAGTCAGAGGGTTGGGAGGGAGGTAAAAGCTTAAGAAATGAAAATAAAGTAGTTTAAAAAGAGCCCTACACATGACAGTTTCCAGGGACAGAAAATGACTTCTTCTGGCATCCACAGTCACCAGATATGCATGTGGTGCATAGACTTACATGTAAGCAAAATACTCATATACATGAAATAAAATTAAAAAGAAAAATGTGAAGGTCACTGTATGACATAATAGGTAATTCAACAAGAGAAAACAACAATTATAAATATCTATGTATTCAATACTAGAGAACCCAATTAGATAATATGAACATCACATTTAAAGGGTCAGAGAACACTCCAACATGGTATAGTTGGGGGTTTCATACCATTCATTTGTTGACCTCACTCACACCAAAATCAACTCAAACCAAAATCAACAAAGAATCAGTTGAGTTTAACTGTACAACAAATCAAAAAAACAAGCCAGACATTTATAGAACATTTCATGTTAGAGCTGCACAATGTAATGTCTTCACATCAGTATATGGAACATTCTGTAGACCAGACCACAAGTGAATCTGAATACATTTTTTTCCCCCGAAGACAGGGTTTCTTTAGGTAGCCCTGGCTGTCCTTTACTTTGTAGACCAGACTGGCCTCAAACTCACAATGATCCACCTGCCTCTGCCTCCCAGAGTGCTGGGATTACAGGCATGCAGAACTATGCCTGGCTTATAAATACAGTTTTTAAGATTTATTTGGTTTTTAAATATGTGTATTGTGTGTATAAACACAAGATCTGGAGTTACAGGAGGCTGTAACACCTCCTTCACCCTATACAACATGGTTTTTGGGACTCAAACTTCAGTCCTCCGAAAGAGTAGTATGTGCTCTTAACTGCTCGCTTTAGCCCAAATAATTTTTGTCCACCCGTTCCCCAAAACGGAGCAGGGGAAGAGAAGGAAAAAAAAAAAAAAAAAAAAAAAAAAAAAGGAACCACAGCATATATCTCCTATGGCCATAATGAAATAAAAATGGAAATCAATAAAAAAAGAGCTTTAGAAATGGTATATATACAAAGAAATTCAAATGTCCTATAAATGTATTCTTAAACAGCCAATGGGCCAATGAAGAAACAAAAGAGAAACTTCAAATATTTCCTAGAACTGAGAACTGGGAGGCAAACCTCTTGTCATGCAAACATGACAAGAGTTTGTATCCCATGTAAATGTAGAATTGGCAGGGCAGCCTGGCTATTATACCAGCATCAGAGAGGCAGAACTAAGGGATCCCAGACACAAGTTGGCTTAGCTAAACTAGGTTAATCTTCAAGCTCTGGTCTTAAATAAGAGATTCTATCTACCTCTATATACAAAGTGGAGTTGAATTAAGAAAGACATCTGATGTCAACCTTTGCTGTATATATACATACACACAAATTTTATGGAACAAATGAAAATACAATATGCAATATGGCAAAAGCAATACTAAGAATGGTATTATGGCAATAAACCACATCAAACAATAACAATAAATAGATGGATAAATATACAAACTAAAGAAACAGAAAGAACAAAGCCCAAAATTAATAAAGAAACAACAAAGATCTGAAGAGAAACAAATGAAATAAATATGAGAAGAAAAAGACGACAAAGTTGATTTTTAGGAAAAATGAACAAACCTTCAGTTAATCTAACTAAGAAATAAGGAACACACAAGCAAAACAAAAGCACAAAGTAGATACACATCAACTCAACATAGAAACACAAAGGATCATTAGAGACTATTATGAACTATCACATGATAGCAAGAAATGGATGACTTTTTGAACATCTAAAACAAACAAAACTTGAATGATGAAATAAAATGCCTGGAGTCCAATAAATAAGAATGAACTGGAGTAAAGTAAAAGAAAATGTCTTTCCAGAGTGGGGCAATTAATGCCCATATTTCTAAACTATGGAGAAGGGAGGCACTCTCCAACAGTTACAGCATCAAAAGCTACAGAAAACAGCTATCCCTGGCAAATAGACACAAAACTTAAATAGAATAATATATCAGACATTTCTCAAAAAAAAAATATAACAAGTATATGAAAAACTGCTCAACATCATTAATCATCAAGGAAATACAACTTCAAAAAGTAGCAAATGTTATATAGATGATGTATACTCCTCTGATAAATTAGACTAGTGTCTGACATGACTATGAGTTGAATAACTAACAATTAACTTGCATATCTAATATCCTAACCACCTTTTAATATAGTAGTTTAAAAGTATTGGAAGTAACCTTGACTTTCTATTAATATACTAAAGCTTATACCAATGTATTAAAAATACTTATTTTTGCATCAATATGCAAAATACTATACCAGAGTTAAAATTAACCTTATTTGGGAATAACAAATAAAACCTTAAGTTGAGTAGATTCAATAATCTACCCTTTTTTTCTATTTCTATAAAATATCCCTGTATATTCCTTGTTTTACTTTGAATAAGATCATTAATAATAAACATCTCCCAATGACAATAAAATTTCATAGCCATAGCAAACAACCAAAATCATGTGAGAGGAGAGCTAGGAAACAGAGCTGGAGGGAGATCTTGGAGGACATGGAGCATGAACCAGACCTAAGATTTCACAAAAAGCAAGTATAATGTGGGAAATCTAAATGTTAGGAAACTGAGGGCTTGGAGGTTTAGGAGGGAGTAAATATTGCCCAGCATTGTGTTCTAGGTTAACTAAAACCCAGTCTCTGTGTGGTGATTTGGTTATACAGCTGTTTAAGATTAGCAGCAAGCTTTACTAGAAGATAAACCAATAAGTATTAATAACCACTTATAACAAGATGTGGAAAAAGAAAAACATTTGCAACCTGGATGGGCAGCAAAACAGTCATATGAAGACAGTATAGAGGTTTCTCAGACTCTGGAACTAGAGCAACCAAGTGATCCAGAAACTGTACTCCTGGGTGTGCATCCAAAAGAAAGAAACATGTATCTGAGAGACCTCTGTACATAAGTCTACTCCAGCTCTGTTCACAAGAGCTATGACACTGAAGCAAACCTGCTGTCCACTAACAAATAAGAAAAAGCAAAGTGGCATACAGAAAATATAATAGCTTCCACAAGTAAGACTGTGATCCTGCATTTATAGCAACACAATAAAACACTGCACAGTCTCACTTGTATGTAGAAGCCAAGAGTGAAACAGTGGTTACAAACCACTGGGAAAAGGTGTGGGGAGGATTAAGGATGGTTAATGATTACAGAGTGTGACTGGATGGGAAAAATAACTTTCAGTGTTCTAAAGTACTGCAGGGAACTGGGATGACACAACTAACTACAGATTTCAAAATAACAAAGAAATAATGATTACACATTATATACTGAAACATTACTCTGTACCCCATAAATATACACAATTCTGACATGTCTAAACATTTGTAATTTTAAATACTCACATAATCTTGGGGGTTTTTTTTGTTTGTTTGTTTTACATTGTGGGAGACATATGCATACAACACAACACATGTGAGAGTCAAAGAGAACAACTGTGTTTTCTTCTTCCACCATGTGTGTTGCAAGAGTCAAACTCAGGTTGCCAGGTTTGGTGGCAAGCACCTTTAACTGTTAAACATAAGTTATGTTTAAGTAACTTAAACAATGAAGGACATATAATCAGTCACTGGGATTAGAAGAAGGAAGGATCTGGGCCTCACTAAGCCTCCAACTTCTACAGCAGACATTAATAAATATGAAAGACAAGACTACACTAAATCTAGAAAATAAGTTGAGGCACAGCTACACAGAGGCAAATGTCAGAATAAGCAGTAAGAGAGGTCAATAACTGCAGGTCTGGAAGGCGAATTCCTATGAGCCTCAAGATCCCACTGCAATTTTAGCCTTCCACTAAAAACTTAGTGATACTTAGATAAACACTGAGAGGATGAAGAAATCTATTTAATGCTATCCTTCCAAACCTGAACCAGCATGTGGCAGATGTCCACGTGGCCAGCTTCTGCAGCAGCATGCAGTGGGGAACGCTTACTCTGGTGCTCCATTTTGAAGTTGGGATCAATTCCATCAACTGTAAATAAACACAGTTTTACTAATTTTAATATCAGATGCAACCACAATGCACTTTCACAGATACTTACAATGGCTGACAGAGCGGACACGGATATTTGAGATAAAATTTAAGTTTTGGAGTCATGATGGAGCCACTATACCACAATGCCCTGTCTGCAGGCAGAAATCAGGCGCCGCTTATGCCAAGACCAAAAGAACCTATACAGCACCACATGAAACCCAACAGGCAGGTTTACCAAAGTGCTTCACCATACTTTTTTCTAATTCTTGAGTTCTGTTTTCAGATATTCCTGTCTCAACCTCTTGAAAACAGTTATAAAGGCAAACAGAGCTCTAAGAACAGACATATCCCAGGAGTAGAAAAGTAAGACTTGAACATATTTCTTGTTTCATTTTTACTTTAGGGGGTTCACAGGGTCTCACTATATATCCAAGACCAGCCATGAATTTGAACTCCTTCTGCCTTAGTCTCCCAAATGTTGGACATTTTTCTAGACATTTAACCAAGGTATCACGCAAAAAGTAATAAAGCAATTTAATACTACATTAAGTCTATGAAGAGTAAAATATTTTGTAAATTAAATGAGCTTCCCCATCTCCCCCTTTCCCCTCAGAAAAAAAAAAATTAGCTTCTTTTATGGTTTGTTGTCAAAGAGCTCTTTTCTTATGCTTTCCAACCTAAAAAAAGATGAACTTCAGAGAAATTAAGCCTAGAATTAGGAGTTCAGGAATCAAATTGCAACTGGACCATCTCTAACAAGCACATTCTCAGGTACAAAAAAAAACTAAGCCAAGCTCAGAAGCTGCAAAGGCAAATATTGTGCCTAGTTCCCAAGTCACTTTGTACACCTGTGCTGCTTCTGTCAACAAAGAAGCACTGGTTTCTTCACTGAAGCAAGTCACCACAGGACCCATTTATATTATCTTTCTACATATATGCATACTTCTTCATCTAATAATCACTTAATCCTTTCTGTGTAGAAATGCACAGAGAAATTTCTAGGGCTATGCAGCAGTCTAAAGAGCAGGGAGCACTTTTTTTTTTTTTTTTACTTATCAGAGAACTCAAAAAATCATAACCATCAGACAGTGAGATAGAGCTCATGAGAAAAGGGGCAACTGGCAAGGCTTTCCTGTATTCCATTTGGGGCCTCAGGTATAGCAACTCACCCAGCATGAGAAGAACCTTCTGCAGCTCACCCTGCCTAGCCGAGAAGTACAGCTGCTTCGGGTGGAATCGAAGTTTCTTGGGTCTGTAAGAAGCAGAGGACAACAATCAGTACCAGCCTCTTAATGTCAAAACAATAAGACTAGAGGTACAGCTCAATACTAAGAACATCTGCCAAGTTTAAAGCCCTGAGCACTGCCCCCCAAAAACAAAGACCAAAAAAAAACAAAACAAATCCAAAGCAACTATCTTCATATATCATCAAAGCACTGCACCCAAAACCACCACTGATAACATGACATAGAGCCTAACTAACTAGGGCACAGACAAGCTACGCATTGTAGAGGGTCAGGGAGACATCATGTATTAGTCATCATTGTACACTCAACATGGCATATGAAGTACCAGGCAAAATGCCCAGGGTGACCTCTGCAGCTACTCAAGGGATGACAAATGTTATGGAGTGATACTAATTACCCTGTAGCACCAAAATAGGGGCTTGAACCAACATATTTGCTATGAAATTTACATCAACTCATAACAGGAGTTAAAGGTGGAGGGTCAGAAAAAGTCTAGGGCCTGGTCAACAGATAGGGACTATGGGTGTCAGACGGGCAAGGACGGCAATAGAGAAAGGATATTCAGCAAGGACAGAGATAGAGAGAAGCTATTCAGAATGAGAAAGACCAACAGAGGGACTTGTCTGTTAGGTAAGAATATGAACTTCTTTCCTTCCAGAAGAGTAAATTTAGAGGTCACCTTGATAAACCTAAGGAGTGTAAGGCTGACCCCCAAAGAAAAAGGACACAGGTAGACCTGTGAGCCAAGAAAGGCTACAGTGTGGGGACTAGCAAATAGCCTAAGGGGTCACTTGATCTAGCCAACACTATGCAGAGATTAGATATCAAAGTAGATGGTAGGAGCTCCTGAAATGGGGTGTGTGCTCTAGGAGCCTGCAGGCAGCTTACCCAATAGAGGTCATAATACCTCTAGCCCAGGATAATAATAATCTCACTTCTTGCTATTAGCATGAATGGATAATAATTTGCAACAATTTATCCCAGACCATGGAAAGACATATGAGGCTAGCATCTCAAATGTTCATCCTTTTGAAGAACACTGTTGTTCAAAAAGCTGGAAAGTACTGGGAACCTTTGAGGAAGAACATGATCTTAAGTTGTCTTTGAAAAAACAAAAACAAAAACACTAGGCTGGCTCTTACTTTTCAGAGTCCAGGGCGATTAGAGCACTTTCCAAGGTTTCCTTTCCTGGGCCCTGAGAAAGGCCAGAGGTCGGCCTCACGAACCCAGCTGGCCCTGCAGGATCGAAGCACTCTGGTGCCTGGGGGACTGTGCTCTGCGATTTTTCATCCTCTGGGGCTCCAGCAATGCTTCATAAGAAGGAAATTATTGAAATGCTGAGTTTCATTATTTGGAAACCTCTCTCACGGAAACCAGTGAATACATAAAACAATACCTATTCCAACCTGACCATACATTGCCTCTGAATAGAGTCAGCGGCCAGTCCACTCACTACCTGCAAGTCTCAAGGAAGCTGCCTGAGATTCAGAACCCATCCCCTGGCAAATGTGACACTGAGAAGTCAGCACAGCACTCCTAGGATTTTTACTCCCTCTCTCCCTCACTGAGATCTGATTTTATAAACAAGCTTCAGGCTCTATACAGCCAATCCACTGCTTTCCATACTTTAAGAATGCCTACTGGAACTGTGACTTGAGAATACTTAACTTAACAATTAATATGAAAGCACTAAGACTTTCCCAATCCTTCAGTTAGTTGAAGTTTTACATTATTTCTTTTCTACTGCTATCATTTTTATAAAACTACTTTCCTCTTTTCACTGAGGAACTCAAAGGCTCTGTCACTTTTTGGAAAGGATCTCTTCACAATTCCTTTCCTATCCAGGCATGGTTAGCAGGAGAGATTGCAGTCATCTGTCTATCCCCCTGCCCTCAAGATCTTCAGATATTTCTACTGGGTTCTTTTTAGGAAAGCAAATACATACAAATATGGAGATACATTCCTTTATCTTGTCCTCAACAAGGGCCTTCAAAACTGTACCAAGCAGTGTGGTAAGTCCTTCAGTAGCTGATAGAGTGCTTCAGCATATGGGGACTACATTAATGAATGACAAAACCACAAAAAGCTGTACCAGTCAAGGCAGTGTAAAAAGTGATTCAACAGAGATAATTTTATCAAGCCAAAATGAAAGAGACCCATGTATTAAATGAACACCAGTACTTCCTGGAGACCAGAACATTAATAAATGACAAAGTTCACTGAGATCTCTGGTAAAGGCAGCAGAAACTGATAACTACAGAGGATGTTATCTTCAGCTAGATTATGTGCAAAGCTTGGCCACAGCTACTTTGTTTAGTACCTGCCCGTGGTTGTGTCAGCCCTGCCCTCAGCAGCCAAACTCTTCTCCTGTCCAGGGGCCAGGGTCACTGTGGAAGTTGTGTCTGCTTTTGCTATGGTCACCTCTTTGGCCTTGGAAGTCTCTTCCCCACAATGAGGACAGTAGCTGGCATTGTTGACTCGAGAGGCACAGTCCTTATGGAAACGATGAGAGATGCTGCTCTCAGGCTGACATTCCATAAAGTTACCCTAAAAAAACAAAGATGAAAAATCATCTTTAAAAACCGAGAACAACATTCAGAAAACTACATGAAGCTCTACAGAACTATTCAGGTTCAGGCAAGTAGAAGTCCAGTTATGGCCTGGTGACCAACAGCAGCGAAAACAAAAACACTGAGTTTACAAAGAGCTCACAAAGTGAACAGAGGCTACCAAAGGTCACCTCATTGCCAGCACTACTCATCTTCAACCCCCAGTGACCCAGCTAGCTGAGGCCTCATAGTGTGGCTACTCTAAACAAGCACAAGTGCTGTACAAGACATAGTCTGGAAGGCCCATGCTATAATTGGTGCACAGAATCACAGTCCAAAAGGTGACCATTTGAATAAATACCAATTAGAGCATCAATTACAACAGCTACTCTTGCAAAGAGCCAGAGACAATGGAATTCAGAGTAGTTCTCTACTTCTCAGCAGAAGCATAAAAAGGGAAGCCTAAGAAGAAAACCATGTACAGAATTCAAAAGCAAGCCCTCACAGCCAAAGCTCCTGGCCTAGGAGGTCACATAGGAGCAGGAGGACATCTGAAGGTGAGGCAGGTGAAGGCACTCACAGAGGTACTTTAAGAAGGAGGCTGTCCTATGGGTCTGGTGGATGCATATTTATCTCATGAACAGAGTCATCAAAGACAAGATACCAGTGACAACCAATAGATCAGAGAGAGCAGGACAGAAATCCATAGAACAAAACAAGGAGAACTGAGGTCACCAGTTCATTTTCTACAGTAAGAGAGCTCAAGATCTGTTGTGAAGGGCTTATGGAAGAGGCCCCATATAGGGTATAATGTTGGAATGAGTCTCTGCAGAGGACTCAAGGCCCGGCAGGCGGGCTGGGCTCTTACCGCAGTGCAGAAGTAGCCGCAGCCAGGACAGCATTGGTGCTTCACCATACGACCCCGATGGTCTTCACACAGCACCAAGAGTGGTGCTTTGTTGGATGGGCGCATCAGCTCATACTTGACCACGCTGTTTGTACACCGGCCCAACTGCAAGCAGACAAGACCAGGGGTCAGTACTGTAAGGGATCAGCTTTCCCACCCACTGGGCAATGGAAAGCACCAAACATATGGGAAATTCTTGACAAATAGGAGGTGACTGAAAGAGCCATGAGCCTTCACAGGCAAACCTACATTCACAAGCAGTATGAAGTACCTGTCACACAACAACTGCTAGGCCCAACCACCTGAAAAAGGAAGCTACTCTCTATTGCAGAGCCCAGGGATGATGATAGCAGGTAACCACATTCAGAGGATTAGGTGATCGGAAAATCAAGGACTCAGTTTGGGCATAAATCAAGGAAAACATCAGGATAAGAAGAGAACTAGACAATGAACATGCTCTACATAAGAAGGTCAAGGTCATCACAAGTGGCCAGTGGGTTATAGTACGATAAGTCCCAGTGATCCAGCTAGAGTCCCCTAAGCATGGACTCAAAGCTGAAAGGAAAGAAGCAGAGCAATGTCTCCTGCATATACTTGAGGGACACAAGCACAAAAATTACTAAGAAAGCCAAGACCCAAAGACAACTCTTAGAGTATAAACAGCTTTCTCTGTGAGATGCTCCTATGTGCCAGAAAAGAAGTGACTGTTTGTTAAGCAGACAAAAGAATACTGGTTCACTATGTGAAGCTTCTCTGATAGCCAATAAGAAGACAAAAATAGCCCAAAAGGAAAAAAAGATGAGTGGTAATTCACAAAAGACTACTATAGATATCCCCACAACTAACAGTAAATGTTGAGCTAGACTGATAATCAAAGAAATATGACATAGCCTCCACCACTTTCTGTCCATTGTTGGTGCACTTCAGCTGGGTTGTAAATATAGGCCAGTAGCCACAGGAGCTACAGAAAGGACCTAGGCCTGAGTTCTGCAGTTTCTAAACAACAAGCAATCTGAAAGACATATTAAAAAGCTCCCAAATGCATCTTTTCCTAAGACTCTATCTAAAAATGTGACTAAGCATGCCAAAGAGTACCCCCGAAGACCCAGCAGAAACAAGAAACAGGACCTGACAGACCAACAAGTGCTTTGTTGATGCCCATCCACACTGGGCTAAAATCAGGAGGTTCCTTTTAAAGGCAGCCTGGGTATTTCCCTATATCAAAGATATTGAAATTCAGAATGGGGAAAGGCAGGGCATGTATATCTTGAAATAGCCACCCTGACATACCACCTTCATCACCAACTGATTCTCTAGGAATCTTGGTCAAGACCTGTGAACACAAGTTCTTTATAGATAGTGATTGGGGAAGAAGGGGTGAGTTATTTAAAAACAGATAATGTGAAAGAGTGTGGACATAGGAATACACAAAAAGATGCTAAGAATAATTCACTAATTTTGGAATACAAGATTTCATGCATCCATTTAGTATTTGAATTATCTGTATAATCATAAAATGATAAACATGACTTTGCCCAGCTTCTGCTAAGGGAACGAGAAGAAGGCTGATCAAATGGCACAAAACAAAGCAGATGATCTTTTGGAAAGAATATTTCAAAAAAAAAAATAACAATAGAACTTTCTTACGGCTGAGAAAAAGAAAAGAATAAACATGATGAGGACAACTATGTCAGTAATGAGGCAGCCTCAGTTTTACAGGGACTAGAGCAGAAAAAGCCAAAACAAAAGAAAGGAGCAACCTGCTTCTTCACAAGGTAGAAAGCAAACAGCTACTGACAATGGCAGAGATGACTCAAAACAATCTTCCTGGAGGCAAGGATGAAATGTAGAATTGGAAGAAACTAAAAAGTTGCAGCACATTCCATAAGGGAAATCAGGTTTGTGACAGGAATAGGCAAGGCTATCTCATCCTTTTGCATGCCTGTTGCTACAAAAGAAGTCCTATTAGCTTTTAGACTGCCTGTTATTTTATTAAGCATTCTATTAAGGAAAGCTTTAAGAATTGAGACCAAGGGGCTGGAGAGATGGCTTAGTGGTTAAGAACACTGACTGTTCTTCCACAGGTCCTGAGTTCAATTCCCAGCAACTACATGGTAGCTCACAACCATTTGTAATGGAATCTGATTCCCTCTTCTGGTGTGTGTGAAAACAAAGCATTCATATACATAAAATAAATAAATCTTTAAAAAAAAATTGAGACCGAAGTACACATAAGCCCATATCTACTTTTTAAAGTTCCTTACATTTTCATCTAGGCATGCCACTTTAACTTTTCCACAAGTCTATTTATAGGTGAAATTACAATGTGTTATTAAATAAAAGCTCATGGTATAATGCTCAGGTACCATATTTTGCATGACCTTAAGGCAATCCACATACCCAACAAAAATGGTAGTAATTCCCCAACACCCAGAGCTTGAGGGGGTGGTAGAAGAAAGGGAAGGAGGGAGGGAGAAAGAGATGGGGATTGGGAGGGGAGAAGGGAAGAGAGAGAGAGAGAAGACAAAACAGGACAGAGGAGGAGTGGGGATATCATAGTGTTCCTGTAGAGGCCAGAGAACAACTTTGCAGATTGGTTTTCTCCTTCCTGCAACTTTTACAAGGATTCCAAGCACTGAACTCAAGTCATTAAGCTTGGGTATCAAGTGCCTTTATCCACTGAGCCATTGTACTCACCCTCAATTTATATTACTATAGCAATAAACCTATCATAATGGCCAAAAATTTCAAAACAAGGTTTTAATGAATGGCATTGTTCTACATTGCTACAAAACTCTTTAATATGTCGTGTAATAAGATAGAGTAATAAGGTAGAGTCTCTTATCTACTTCCACAGAATTGTGGGTATTATTTTCTAATACTACAGGTATGTTCTACCACAACCAGTTTGACACAGGCAGTTTCTTTTTATTTGTTCTTTTTTTTTTTTTTTTAAAGCTTAATGATAATTTTTATTCGTTAAAAAAAAAATCTCAGAAGCTCTCCACCTGGAGGAAAAAGGGAAACAAAACTATGCCATTTAATCTGGGGTAGATAGAGGTTAGACACATGGTAGACAAGCAGCTACATAGAGGCAATAGAGGCTTCAGCAAATAAGTAAGGAAGCCCGAAATATCAGAAAAAGTGTATTTTACTTCTAGCTATAATCTCAAAGAGACAGAAAAAAATAATAAGATAGTTATGCCTTTCTAATTCTAGCCTCAAAAAGGAAGACCCAGCCAAGCTGCATGGTGTCCCATGTGCTATTTTCTTAAAGCTTTGTTGTAATACAGAATCTTGAACTGTTGGGAACACAAAAGTCCTTGCACCTACACATCGCCAGGGAAACCAGGAATATTTGGCACCAATGACTGATCTTTCAAAGGGAAGGACATATAACCTGTTTTGCCAGAAGACTGGGAATTAGAAGTGATTAAATAGCCTGATGATCAGCATTAACTGTTGGTCCAGGCCATATCAAGCTCCTATGACCAGGACCGAAGGTTGGCTAGTAATCTAACCTCATACTACCTGTATAGCCAGGGGCTCCCCAAAGTCTCACAACAAGGACTAGAGATACCTAAGAGTCTAAATGACCCTTGGAGCTCCCCCCCAGCTCCCACAACAAGGACCAGTGGTAGCTAACAGCCTAAATGATCTTTATACTGTCTGTATGACTAGATCTTTCTTTAGGCCTTTAAGCTAGTACAGGTAGCCTAGAACCTATCTTTTTGGAAGAAATTATATGTACCCTGAGTTGAGTTTCAATGTACTTACGCTTCCCTGTACATTGGGAATTGTTTTACATCCGGAAACTTTTTCCAAACTATACTGTGTTTAAACATGCTCACAATAAACTGGCCAGCATCAGACACTCTGGAAGTTTGATCCAGTTTAATCAAGTAAAACTAAACTGAGTTTCATTATCACATCTTCGCGGTTCATTTTGGTTCATTTCTCTTCCTGTCCTGATTCCACTATCAAACTTTCCACACTGTTACATTAGTATTAAGTTGTGTGCTTGCATTCTGAACAACTTCACCTTTGCACAACTCTACAACACCATCATAAATAACCAGACCTCACACCAGTGGTTCTGGTCTTCCAAATGCATACTATGTAAAAGCTTAAGAAAGAGAATTCACAAAACCTCTAGTGTCTTTTGACATGAATCAAAGAATTAAACCTATAAAATATTAAAATATAAGTTATTAACAATATTGTAAAAGAAGAACTAGTTAACTTCAGAATCTGAGGGAAAAACAATTTACTGTCTTTAAGGTCTGCTGGACACAGGGAAAGAATCCCACTTCCGTGCTGCCTTGCCTCTAAGAGGCATACAACTAGGCAAGAAAGCAGATTATTTATGTCAATAAATGCATACTCCATGGAAGCATCATTTTGAAACCTCAAATGCATGATCAAAGTGGACATCAGGTACCAGCATCTGCTAACATCAGTGAAAAATATGAATCTCGTGCTCTATCTAGACACAGCCTTCCAACAGCCTTGTGAAGAAATTGGGCTGATCTGGCTTTTGCAATTCTGTCAAGAAATTCAAAGAGATCTGCTGAACTACAACTTAAGTGAAGGAACTAGATAATAGGAACTTCCAAATCCAAGAAGCCTGGGAAGCAGCTGTTTCTTGAACTTGACAGTTCAACCAGAGGTCACCTGGTTGAAATGGTGTGGTTATACGATCCAGGTTTAATCTTAAAACTAAACAATTTATAACAAATATCATACAAAGAAAAACATGAGTTTCTAAGAATGCTGTGGAAATCGAGACATAAAAACACGAGAAGCACATTATAGCCAACTCACAGTACGTAGACAAAGCACAACAACCTGTTCTGAGGAGAGGAAGCTGCACTCTGCCTTTCCAATGTGAAACATATTTCAGGAACACCACACCACTCTAGCTGATGAGGGAGCACTCCTTTGTATTACTGATGGCAGAAGAAACCAACAGAAATACAAAATTTAACTTGAAATGAAGAAATGAACATAATGATCAATCGAGTTAAAACCTACAAGCAAAAGCCTGATGAAGGACAGAAGGTACCATAAAAACCCTACCACTGCTGCCAGGTAGTATGCCCACCTAGACAAGGTTAAATCATACGTCTTAAGCCTTAAATCTACCCATGTCTTCAGATTTTGTTTTCAAGCAACAAACACTAAGGAGAATGACTTAAACAGCATGAAACTGGTCATCAGCTAAACCGACCATCTGGGATCTATTTCTCTGTAGGTCAGTGGCACAAGGAATTAGAGGAAAGGTGACAAAGAAAACTATAAAGCTGTAGAGATGGCTAAGCAGTTAAGGGCAATGGCTGCTCTCCCAGAGAACCCAGACTCAATTCTCAGCACCCACATTCACAACCATCTTTAACTCCAATCCCAGGGCATCTGAGAAGTTTCTGGCATCTATGAGCACCAGGAACACACAGGCAAAACACTCCTACACACAAAATAAATAAAATTTTTTTAAAAAAATCTTTGAATATGAAGATACCAAAAGTGGTGGAAACAATTCTCTCCAATAAAAAAAAAAAAAAAAAAATATGTTAAAAAGCCAGCAAGCCTGGGACATAGATAGGTGGATATTAAATTTAGATAAAATAAACTGTGACAAGATTAACACCCATGTCAACAGAACTAGAGAAGTAGTGATTTCTAAAGTATGGTTTCTGGACCAGAGCATAGTCAAAATTAAAGCATTCAGAAAAGCAACACTCAAAACACCAGCCAATCCACTGAAGCAAAAACTTTGGCTGAATATTAATTGGTATTGGGAGCAAGAATACCTGGGCAAGCCTCTAGTAGCATCAGCCTACAACTAGCTGACTCAGCACCAGTCAGAGACACACTAGGCCCTCTGAATAAACAGCCAAGTCCAGTAATGTTGGCATCTCAGGATTGACTTCTGGAACCATGTCTATTCCTACCTTTTCCTGGACCTAAACAGGTGACCTAGCTGCTCTGCTGTCACCTATGAAACATGAGAAAACTGCAGGGGCCAAGGATGAAATATCATGGCCATACCCTGCACACTAGAAACCTGCTGTGCTGCTGCTACTGTCAAACACTTCATTCAATCCTAAAACTAACAGTTAAAACTCAGATTATTTAATTAGTGAGAAAGGCTCCAAAGAGCAAATGGCCCAGGAACCTTACTGGATTAACAGTCATAGGCACTCAATATAAAGTAGATAGAACCAAAGCACCAGGTACTGGCTCAGGCCTTCTCCCAGAGAACAAACAGAGATGCAGTCAGACAGAGTACCCCAAGAACCTTGTCATAGCAAACAGCACCTCTCTTAGTATAACATGAACAACTTTGCTGCCCACTGACCATCCCCACCCATTTTGTTTACCAGCAGCTAAATAGCATGATAAGCTTTAGAGGAAAAAAAAAAAACAAAAAACAAAAAACAAACCTTGCCAAAAATAGAGAAATTTTTAGAAAAAAGCATTGTCTCTGTACATTGCCTGCTTGCCTCCTTACAATGCAGGAGGAACAAGGGTGAAGGGGTCATCAATCCTCCCAGGTCTGTGTCTGACACAGCAAGAGAAGTGAAGTGAGCACAGCACATGGGCTCTAGGGATCACCAGGCTGAGGCTGCCCCAGGAAGACATACATTGGAGTAGCTCTGTCTCAGTAAACATAACACGGTGGTAAAACCTTTACAAAAACATGACTGTGAAACATACTACTTTCATTCAAACACAGTCTGTATGCTTTCTTTTTTCTAAAAGAACTTTATTTTTATTTGTGTCTATAAAAAAAGGGGTATATAAAAATGAATATGCCCACAGAAACCAGAAGAGGCTAAGTGGATCCACTGAGGCTGGAGTTAACGGAGGTTGTGAGCCACTCAGTGTGGATGCTGGGAACTGAACTTGGGTCCTCTATCAGAGCAGCATGTGCTGATTACCACTGAGCCATCTCCCCAGCCCCATCTTCCTTGTTTTGTTGTTGTTGTTAAAAAAAAAAAAAAAAAAATCAAGTTATGTAGGCTCCTAGGTTATCTGACACTGCTGACTGGGGTTTAACAGGAAAGGTTGAGATTCTGAAATATGACAGTTCTCATTGCCACTTTAAAGAAAAATGAACATGCTTACTTCGTGATCCACGCTCTCAGTGGCCATGCACTGGTTGTTGGCCAGGGTGCTGATCTCGCGGCTCTTGGGGGTTTCCATTCGGCAGCTGCAGAGAGGCACTTCCTGGAGGCCATCCGTCTCCAGCACATCCGGACCATTGGCCAGCCCTAAGTCACATAGACACATCAGCTCAAGCAACCCTGACCTACAAAGGGTTGTCCAGAGAACAATCAATTACAGTCTTTACAGTGATCTTGTACTTGTACTGAAATTACACATCAGCACTGCTCAGTGACAAGTATTTACATATTCTTCTGTAACATCCTACATGGGAAGTGAGGCAGCAGACTGTACCTCACCCACAAACACACTAGCTACCTACCTAATCCAACAAAACAACTTATTAGTTTATATTTACAGGGTCTATGCCATAGGTCAGGTTGCATGTTTATCAGCAATTCCTAAATCTGGTTTTCAAGCAAGAAAAGAATCCACTAAATGTTGAGAAATTATTTTCCTCATTTGGTTCTAAATTATACCCATAAGAAAAAATTCCATGTGGAAGGCTTTAATAACAGTTTAATTGCTACCTAGAATATTATTCACCAAAGAATCCATACAATAGGCTGGAGAGGGGGAGGGTGGCAGTGAGATGGCTTCATGAGTGTGCTTGTTGCCAAGTCTAAATACCCAAGTTCAATCCCCAGAACCCACATGATAGGAGAAGTGAGTGCTAAATGTTGTCTTTTAACCTCCACACATTAATGCCATGGCCTACATCCCTACACATGATAGATGATAAGAGTGACAGAAACACAGACAGACAAATAGAAAACCAAAAATACCACAATGAAAAACGTAAACCATGAGGTTTAGGCAAAGATTCTGCACTACAAAGCTGAGCTCAACCATTCCCAGAATTAATGTGCAAAAAAAAGATTTTGGGATCTCACTAGCAGCTTTCAGGGACTGTTGCTTCCAAAGGATATTGGAGCAGACCATGCCCTCTTTCTTGTGAAGCAGCAGAGATAAAAGGTGAACTGAGTTTGAAATAGTATTGCAACTGTGAAAATAATTAACTAATATTCACACCTAAAAACAGATTAGGACCTGACATGCTAAGTGCAGGGCTTTAATCCCAGCACTTGGGAGACAGAGACAGGAAGAGCTCTTTAAGTTCTAGGCCAGCTTGAACTACATATCAAATTCCAAGCCTTCCATGTTGCACAATTAGAAACTGTCTAAATATTAAGTAATTAATTAAAATAAAATGACTATTAAATATACTCTCATTGTGACTAAACCCAAAGAACTCTGAGCATCTCAAACCTTGCTCATTTCATGAAAACTAATTTTGGGTTATTTCTTCTGAATGACTAGATTACAGAAAAATTGAAACAGTTAACTTCAACCACTCAGAACCAGCCAAGTGATTTATCAAGGACTTATCAGCAGAACAGAACTATAACCAAATAATTATTATTATTTTTTTTTCTGTTCAAGTTGTAGTTTGTTCAACATAAGCCTACCTTGAACTGCTTCTGGTTTGGAGCTGCCTGGTCTACAAAGCACTCAAATTCTGCATATATACACAGAGGGCCTCAGTTGGTCTCTGGCAATATTATGCTGAATCTAGGGATCCACTTTTACCCTAAGAAGCCATTCATTGTTCACTTCTGGCCTCTTGAAAATCTGATATGGGTCCTAACCAATCTAGTTCCCAGAGGGGGCTAATAAATGATGAGCAGGACTGAAGACGCAGCTCAGTCAGCAGAGTGTTCATCTATCAAGCACCAAGTCCTGGGTTGGATCCTCAACACTGAATACAATGGGTGTGATGGCACATGCCTGTAATCACAGCACTCAGGAGATGACTCCGGAAACATCAGAAATTCAAGGCCAACCTGACAACATAGTGAAGTTGAGGCCATCCTAGACTAAAGAAATAGTTTGAACCAAAAACCTCTGTGGAAAAAGGAACTGGTGAATACAAATCTAGCTGACTAACTTCCCCCACACTGCAGAGATCAGGAAATCTAAAACAAAACTCAAATCAGAGTCACTGAAAGTACGAACTGCTCTTGTGAGGAGCTCCTGCTCAGTAACTTGGTGTAACTAGGGGACAGATACAAATACAAGAAGGAGTGGTGAGGCAACTATCCTCCTGCCACACCAACATGTGGCTGAGGTGAGATGAATGAGTATGCATATTTGGGCAGCACTGTCAGAACACATACATCTGCACAGATGTGGGTGTACTTCGGTCTCCTGCACTGAAGAACTGAGACATCAAAAGAAAAACCTGACACAACGTTCATGGATGCACACTATTGGAACATGGCTTAACAATGGAGTTGTGTGAAGTTTCTGAGTGCTTATGAGAAAACTCCAGGAAAACAAGACAAGAGTCCTGTGACCTCAGTTTCTTCAAAAGCACATAAGTACTCGTGGAATGTGCTTCCATGCTCCTCCTGGGTGTAGTGAATAGGAGTGAGTTGTTATTATTATTTGTTTATATGCCTTTATGGAGTGTGTGGCTTGCCTGTTACAAGTGTGGCTTGTCTGCCATGTGTAGTTTGCCCTTGTGACTGTATACTTTACGCATGTGACTCCTCTCAACCTTCAAAGGTTAAACTGTCTGATGCTTTGAATAAAGCTGGCTATTAAATGAGATTTTAGTTTACCTCATTTATCAGTTCCATTCTCCTACATCCCCTACCTCTACAGTAGTAAACATACACAATCTCTCATCTGAGCTTGGGCTCTCCCGATCATCCATACTGCCAGCGTCCTTATGTCCTGTCTTCACCCAAACTCAAGTCCTCAACCTATTACTGAGCCTATCTCACACCTATAAGCAAAGATAGTGGGAAAAGACAATGCAAAAAAATGACTTACAACCTCAGCACAAATATTCACTTAGGTCCTCAGCTTAAACCTAGACCCTATTGAATCAAAACTGGACTGAGCATCTGAATTCACTAACCAGCCTCAGCAAATTCCAAAAATACTTGCCTGAATTCCAGCTCTCCTATTACCTTCAGGTATCCTAGTTCCATACTTTAAAGGCAAGTAGCCAATGCTGCTTTTCATCAATGTTAAGTCAAAAACATGTTTGTTGTATACAACCCAATCACTGATTAATGATTCAGTGCTGATCAATCACAGGTAAGTCAATCTACAAAATGCCCAAAGGAAACTGGCCCACCTGCCTCTGTAACCTGGATACCCTAGGAGTGTTTCCACTCTTAAGTGTTTACAGCTGCATTTATCAGTTTTGACCTTTACTTCTATCAGAGATGAAACAGCACATCTTTACATCGAAAGGCCCCCTAAATGCCATCACAATCCTGGTCCCTCACCTGCAACAGATAGGGTTCAGCGATAAATACAGGGTTGATTTGATAAAGCACTATTTCCTGATTACAATTAAATTTCTAATTTCCAAATCTTGAAATTTAGAATACTTAAAACGAAGTTCTGTTTAACTTAAGAAAGGAGGCACAGGTTACCTGCAACAGGACTTTATGAGATTTGAAGAGCTTTGTGCTCTACTTTGTGAGAAGAAAAAAAAGTTATTTCTTTGAACAAAACAAAGACTCATGTGAGAGGCAAAAGATGTGGTTTACTATATTACCAAATTACAGAAGTAAATCACAGCTTCCTAAGCATTCAAATTCTTAAAAAGCTAGGTATTTGTCTTTTATCATTAAATCCCTACAGTAAATATAACTCCATGGTTTCAAAATATGACTAGAGTGTAAGCAGCTACAGGGTCTTAATCATCTGTTTCATAAAGATGTTTAAATACCATTAACTAGTTAGTTTTTATTGCTAGGCAGTTTTTAAGTAACTTAACCCAAAGAAAGGGGAGCAAGCAGAAAAACTGAGAGCAAGCCACAATGATTCAGGCACACAGCAGATACTATTGCACCCTGGAGGCTGTCCTCCACTGCAAACACACCGGAAGAAGGTCAGCCCAGCAGAAGACAGAAGACAAGCTACAACCAACCAGAGCTAAAATCAAAGATCCCTCAAAGACACACTGCACAAAATATATAGCCCGTTACATCCAGAGAAGGGTGGCATCTTTTTGCCAAGGAAGCTGTACACAAATGGATCTCGCTCACAACTGGAAAAACACCGTAAAACAAAAGTACTAACACCTCAAATTTGACATAAGGCATCTGCAGCTCTGCTCTTAGAGGGCTCTCAGGCTTTCTGTTTCTTATCTGAGCAGTTAATGACCTGGCAAACATATTTGCATCATGTCTATTCAGTCAGCTTTAAATAATCACCTTATCAAACTGTCCATTATTATCCACCAGGAGGCATCAGGCTAACACAGAGAGCCAGACCAGTAAACAAGCAAGATGGTGTAGACATATTCCAACACCAACCTTCATTTTCCGTCTGGGAAGACAGAATTCCTCTGACACGAAGATCCAGGGAATCCAGAGAAACTTCCATATACCCAGCGCTGTCTCCCAGAGCTGCCTGCTCTGTGCTTCCTGGAGGTGACTTACAAGCCTCGGAACCTATACACAGAATGCACACATCATGAAAACTGCACAATAGCTATAACCAGAACATTCCAGAAGACTGGAGATGGCTCCGTATGTAACAGTGCTTATAGCCAAGTCCAATCCTGAGTTCAATCCACAGAACCCATGTGTTGAAGAAAATCAACTCCCATAAGCTGTTCTCTAACTTCCCACACAACAAACACCCACACAATAAAAATACCTGTTTTAAAAACCCAAAAATAAAACATAACAACAAACATTCTTATTAAGAGGCCAGTTCCTAGAAAAAGGACTAATTTTAATGAACTCTGGTAAATTTAAATAACACCTCCAGGGCCACTTCAGTTTCTACTAGTACCTTATTTCCTATACATTATTTTGTTAATTCCCCATGCATACCCAGTTTCAAAAGAAAGGCAATGGCCAAGAAAACCGAAAAAGCCAGATATTGTGGCTCATGTTTCTAATCCTAGCACTAGGGAAAACAAGGTCAACATGGGATACACAATGAATTCCAGGTATACGCTAGACTACAGAGTGAGATTCCTACCCCCCCCCCAAGAACCAACCATAAATATATTACTATGTTCTTTTTCTAAGTTAAAAAAATTGGACTAAATGATTTTTACATATCGGTGTTTTGCCTTTATGTATGTATATGCCCCACATATACATCTGGTGCCCTCTGAGATCAGAAGAGGGTGGCAGGTCCCCTGGAACTAGAGTTATGGAGAGTTGTGAGCCAATATGTAGGTACTCTGGTCCTCTAGAAGCACATCCAGTGCTCTTAACTGCTTAGCTATCTCTTCAGCTCCAGTTAATACATCTTACATCAAGACTCACTAAATAAAAACTGGTAAAACAATGAAGAAAATGAATGAAGATGTGATAAATGAACTAGACCTGGCAGTACACAGTTACATGTCTTTAATCCCAGCACCTGGGAAGACAGTGGCAGCTGGATCTATGAAGGATAAATCCAGAATGAGACCACATCTCAAAAAAAAAAAAAAAAAAAAAAAAAGATATCTATAAATTCTTGTAAAGTTTAAAGTAAGACAGAAAAATTTAATTTGCAAGTTCGAAAGAACTTCTGATATGATGAAACAGCCTATGTAGAAACCTGTGCTTGTGGTGATGCCAGCCTTATTGCTGTTTCGGCCAACACCTGACGATCCTCGAGGATATAGGCATCTAACCCATCAGACATGGTTGTCTATCAAGTATACTACTCACTAAAGTGCAATAAAATCTAAACGTGTCAAGATACATGGAACCAACAAGGGCTAATTCCAAAACTAGTTCTGTAGATCATGTAGCAGGTACAAAAACTTGGGGACAGGGGTAGGCAGCCTGTCCAAACTTCCCAGAATGGCCTGCATAAAGGAGAGTATTTCCAACCATAAAGACATTTCATGAGGAATCCTAAAAAGCATGTTTCAGTTACATACTACCTAACTTGGCAAAGAGCAGATGATTATGTTTCACAATGAATCTTCTAAATATTACATGCAATATTATATAAATGCTAGAAATAAACAAATCATCAATACAGAGGTATGATACCAACATCTTTTAATTCAAACTATATTCTATAACAAGATCTTAGACAAAAAATTTCAAGAACATGAATAGCCTTTCAAAATTTTAAACATTTTACATAAAACAGTAAAAGTCACATTATTCGGTAAATATTTATGTATGCATTTTACACTTTGAAGCCAAAATGGCAAAGACAGAATCTCTACCCTGAAAGTATCTTTTAGTCTTGGATCCACAAACATTTGTGAAAGCCAACAGTGAAAACCACATGGATTTTCTGATCTTAAAAGGCAACCCAAGATGAAAATAAATGACAGCATAAATGAATGGGCCGATGAGGTGCTCAGGAAGGCACCCAATCCCTATGTCAACAAACCCCAGAAGTCTCTGTAGTCCCTCCAATGTCACATGGCTATCTCATAAGCACTAGCCCACAAACCTCCTTTTCTGTCAATAAAAGGTAAACAAACAATTGAACAAAGCTGTCTGTGTAGCATGAAGGTAATAAGCAAATGAATAAATGGAACAGATTAGAAAACTCAGAAAAGCCGCCCACACAGCATTGCTGACAAAGATTTCCAAGAAACAAGTAAGTTAAGAATTTGAGTTGGGGGCTGAAGAGACAGCTCAGTGATTAATAATACGATGCCTTTGCAGAAGACTTGGATTCTGTTCTCAGAACCCACATAGGGCTCACAATCATCTGTGACTCTAATTTCGAGGAATCAGACACTCTCTTCTGACCTCAGGGTACAGCAGGTATATATATGGTGCACATACACATATACGAACACTCAAAAACATGAATAAAAATAAGTCGATCTTTTAAAAAGTAGCAGTAGTTCATTTGACTCACTCTAACAGATTAACTGCAAACCTACATAAGGGAGCTGTCTCTTCCTCACATATGCAAACACTGCCTCCAAGTGCACTAAGAGTCTGTGGGAATGCTGAAAACTTCTGAAGAAAATGTAGACTAAATCCTGGTAGCCTGGTTTACTCAAAGATTTCTTAGAGCAAAAAAGCAAGAACCATAAAAGAAAACAATTCATAAATTTGACTACAATAAAAATGTTTACTAGCTGTTCTTACCTAAATATACTGTTAGGAAAATGGAAAAGTAAGCCACAGACTAGGGACTTATAAACATGTAAAATATTCAGCTGATTAAAATTCTATCTAGAACACTAGAAGATAAAAAAGGCCTAAAAATAAAAAGTGAATGAAAGACACATATACACACTTCACAAAATGAAATACACATAAGGTAAGACGCTCCATCTCATTATTGATCTGGTAAAAATAAACTGAAGCTACTGAGGAACACCATTGCACACTCTCTGGAACCACTGAAGTTAAAAAAAGATGGACCCAACAAGCAACAGCAAGGACAAATGGAATTTAAGCCCCAAGTACTATAGTGAGTGATGTACAATGGCACCCATACTTCAGAAAAGTTTAGTAGTTTCCCAAAGACCTGAGCACACTATATTGACTGAGCTACGCCAGTCAAAGAGATGTGTAACACCTGTGCAATGAAGGCTGCACACAGACATTCATATCAACTTCCTTTCTGATACCCTAACTCACCAGCTGAGACCAGGGTCCACACACAAGAAAATGACTAACACTTCTCAGAAGGTGTACTTCTCAGAAGGGAACAAAACAACAGGAGGGTACCCAAAACAATTATCTCAAAGGAGACAGAGCAGGAAAAAAAAAAAGGGGGGGGGGGGAGGGAAGAGTCCACACATAGCAATTCCATTCCCACAGAATTCTATAAAGTACTAGTCTATCAGCAAAACAGACAATTGAGGGCTGCCTGGGGATGGGAGGTGGCCACAGGATCTAAGTAAAGGCTCTCCAGGGAAGCAGGGGTAGGGAGGATGCAGAGGCTGAGTTCTCTGGTGACCTGATCCTGGTGAGAGTTCTATACTATAATTTGTATACACAATCTACTCAACAAAGCTACACAATGAACTTGGTACATTAACCCTTATCTTCCTGAACTCACCTTAACAAACTACCACTACGTCCTATAGATGAGGCACAAACCATTCAGGTCACAGAGGCAGCCAGGAACCACAGACTTCCTTTTTCCACATGATTTGGAAACTGTTCACCCAGGCAAAAAGGCACTACCGCTGTGCAGGTGACAAACTATCCATGTTAGCTTGGTGCTTGGTAATGAAGCCAGGATCAACTAGGTTTGCTAGAAACAAACTACCTAAGGATCACATAAGTTTCTCTGAAGAAGTCATTTCAAACATTTATTACAGGAGACCCTCTTTACAAGTGAAATCCTTCACACAAGCAGCCCCAGCCAGCGTCCTGCCTGCTGACATTCCCACATAGCTTGTAAAGACCCGAGCTCCACTGTGCTCACCAAGCATGCTGCTTGCCTTCTTTCTACTTCTCCGCCTCCTTTTCCGGGCAGGCTTGATCCAGGGGCTGTCAGTCTTCCCTCTCCTCTTGAGAAATTTCTTCTTGATACTGGATTCAGAACTCTGGAGAACCAAAGGGCATGCATATCAGAGGCAAAGTAGGAGGAGATCCTGAGAGCAAAAAGGACTAAGAGCTGTTTGCCTCAAAACTCATATACTTGCTATATCTTGACTGTACTTCTAAAAGATCTACTTCACTTTTGGACATGTTTCCAGGTTACATTCTAAAGAGAGCTATGCTCTTCCTAAACATCTCACTAAGCCCAGCCCTTTTGGAGGCAACAAGTCAAAAAACAGTTTATAAGTTTTATTTGAGCTTTGCACAATGGAAAAGAATAAATTGGAAATTTCTACTCGGGACTAAGTAAAAAAAAGCTCAATATGTCATCTACTTTTCATTACATATATCTACCCATCTTGTTCAGAAAGAAACAATCAACATTCAATGAGCCCCAGAATCCATACAGGCACATACTACATGGAGAACAAGAAAGAGGTACAATCAATTTATAACAAAGGAAGAGGTTGCATATTCTGTTCCTATGTTGCAAGTGTAGAAAAGACATCTACTAAAAAAAAAAAAAAAAAAAAAAAAAAAAAAATCATAACTGACCTACAGCACCAACTGTAGTATTAGTAGATGCTGGGAAGAGGTTATGTGAAGAAAGCACATGAGTTTCTTAATCCTGCTTCCCAAGCACTTATACAGGCACTGGAAACACTATGCTGACACATAGTGTATGGCACAGCATGCCAGGCAATCCCAACATATAAGCATGTCCACTTGTTCAAGCCATAGGTTGGATGTGTGATAGACACCCCAGTAAAATGGTATGAACATCTCCAGCACACATGCTTTTTCCCTACAAAAACAAAAACAAAACAAAACAAAACAAAACCCTCACTTTATCCTATGTTTGCGCACAGAAAAACTTCATGGAAAAACTTCAACAAGTACTGCAAAGCAAAGTTTTCACTGTCTGGATCATTTTATTGTACCCCAAGAAATAATGCCTCCTCACAAAACACAAGGATCCTGTATGGGACCTCCTCTCCTTCGCCATAGCAGCCAGACACCAGGGGACACATTATCCCTTTTCAGTTGTTGGTCAAATTCATTATCCCACACATAGAACATCTTCCTAAAGCTCCAAGGATTCTATCTTCTTTACTCAATACTCACCCATGGGCTACTCCTGAGACTCCACTTCAGGATTTCCCTATTTCCAACCTACCCAGCTCCTACAAATCTCAGGCTTTACCTGGCAGGTAAAAAAGACTACACCTTAACACAGCTCAAATCCAACAGCTCCTCTCTCAGCAGCAATGCAGGCCAACTCATCACTGGTATGAAGAACTAAAATGTGGAACCACAGCTTTCCCTAGGCAGGCCTGGCCTGTTGTTGAATGCCAACAAGCAGATCAACACAGCTGTTCTACCTGTCGCTGTGATACAACTCTAAATGACCTCCTTCACCATCTGGCAAGACCCCGTGACTCACAGGACACATAGAGGTGCTACCAGTGGTCTCATCTGCAGAACTAAATTATGTGAACATAAAAATACACATCAGGTTACCAGGTCAGACTCGTCGCCACAGTCTTCATCCTCCCCTGTGTCAAGTGACTCCTGTTCCTCCTCTGAATCTCCATCCATCTGATCAAGTCAAATAAAAAACAAAAACCAATTATATTTTTTAGTAGAAGACAGACAGATCCAAAACAAATTCTAAAAAACACTGACGGACATACATGGAAGGGACCTCACTGTCTGTCCCAATACAGAGACAAGTTGCCTGAATGGCTCTGGCCAGGAAATTTCCAAGCAGACTCACTCAAGATGACTCAAATTCATTAACTGCACCTTGAAGGTGCAAGGCATGCCAGGTATCTGTAAAAAGTGGTAACACACAAACACAAATATGCACACACACAGAGAAGAGAGAAACAGAGACAGAGACATAGAGGAAGAGAACAAACAAGTATATTCTCAAGGGCTATAAAATAATACAACCTGCTGGGCAGTGGTGGCGCATGACTTTAATCCCAGAACTTGGGAGGCAGAGGTAGGTGATCTCTGTGAGTTTGAGGCCAGCCTGGTCTACAGAGGGAGTTCCAGGACAGCCAGGGCTATACAGAGAAACCCTGTCTCAAAAAACAAACATACAAAAACCACCAAACACAACCAAACCTACCTCTACTCACCTAAGAACAGTCTAGTCCCTAGAGTCATTGCTACTATGCTGCCTTGGCCACTTCCAGCTACACTGAACCTATGCCTAAACCTGTTTCCCTGCTGGACATAGTTTAGTAAATTTACACTTTGGTAATTATAAACACATTTTGGAATCTTTTCTGTATCAGAAGAGCAAAGATGCTTTGTTTTCCCTACTTTATTTATCTTTTCTATTGACACTATCAATCTATGAATATGTGTCCACTTGCCCCAGATCCACTCACTCCAAATCAAAGCTGTGATGTCTGGTGCGCTGTAGTCTGACCATGGATGCACCCTCTGTGGGATCTCACTTCTCGCTGATGTTCCTAGCTCAAAAGAATATGTAGGGTTCATAGCTAAGCTACATTCCAAACAAGTCAAGGTCCTTCAACATACGGGCATATGAGGACAGAAGTGGAGCTCCTGAGTCAAACAGTACCCCTTTCCCATGGTAACTCTAACATCCTATACATGTCTCTTGTTTTGCCCAACAAAACATTGCTGATGTCTCTTACAGTATCTCACAATATTCCCACAACTGTTCTTGATCTCCATAGGTCATTAACTTCAGAGTTTGTAGCTCTACAGAAAGTTCTAATTAGATTTTGAAGAAAATGTTCTAAACTTAGAGATAAACCTAGAGACAATGCATTTTGCATTTTCACAAATGGTAAGTCTATTAACCTCATTTAACAAATTTCTGCTGTTCTCTTACACTACATTATTGTTTAATGTGTTACCCCAGGGACTTTGAAAATAGCAAAAATTACCCTGCCTCTGCCTCCCAGTAAGGTGTGTGCCACTGCATCCAGATAATTTTCTACTTGATGTTTAAAAACATGCCTATGGCTAGCTGGTGGCACAAGCCTTTAGTTCCAGGGTTAAGGAGGCACAGGTAGGCAGCTATCTGTGAGTTTGAGGCCAGCCTGGTCTACAGAGCAAGTCCAGGATGGCCAAGGCCATACATAGAGAAACCTTGAAAAATCAAAAATCAAAACCAAAAACCATGCCTAGGCATTTATGGATGTGCTGGTCTTTACTGCAATGGCAACAAGAGATGTCTATGTCTTGATAATATGGAAGTTTAGTTCAATGGCTGTCAATAGTTTCCTGGAATTTTTACAAGAGTTTAAGGTGGATGTTTATGTTCTCCCCTCTCCTTTTAAATACCAAAGTTTCTTTCTGGCTTTTCTTTTATAGCATCAGTCAAAACAGTCAATGTTAAAGCTAAAAGCAGTAATCTCACCTTCATTTTATGACAGATATTAGAAATTCTTTCAATTTTCACCGTTAAATATAACGTTCATTATAGGACTCTAGTACTTTGTTAGTTTTATTTAATTTTATGTTTTAATTTACTGGGCAGTTGTTCTGTTTGTTTGCTTAGTTTTAAACAAGACTGAGTAATGCAACTACCAATTAGAAAACGGAACACACAAAAAAGGAATAAAATCACTTTGAAACTGCTGCTTGACAATTACATATATGACACAGTAAGGAAGAAAGCACAAGTTGAAATCCCAAGGCAAAGAGAGACTAAAGCATACTAGTTGGTTGCCGACCAGTGGGGACACACACCTTTAATTTCAGCACTCAAGTGGCAGAGGCAGAAGGATCTCTGAGTTTGAGGCCACTCGGGTCTACAGAGGGAGTCCCAGGACAGACAACACTGCACAAAGAAACAAACCCAGTCTTGAACACTATCCCCCCCCCCCAAAAAAAAAACCTAACAAAAACAAAACCAATAACAACAAAAAGAGAACTAGTTGGCAAAGAGTGAATCAGAAGTAAGGAAACAGACTGTGATGCAACTAAAACCTGTGTTGACCAGGCAGAAGATAAAAACATGATAAAAATCAGCAGGAAACAACTCTGGTCAGCAAGCCCAGCTTTCCAGCTGAGACCTAAGACACTCAAAACAACTGTTGTGCCCAACTGTTCCTACATTAACTTCTAATTCACAGAGCTAGATGAGAATTTTTATCTTGCCATAACTCCACAAGTCCACAGCAAAACATGATAGTGTGCTGACTACATAAACAAGGATCATTTCTAAATTGAAGAACTTGTACAAAATGAGAAAAAGACAGGTAACCTAATATCTAACAGATAACTGCCTAGTATTTGATCAGGTTCTTCACAAAAGAATCTGTGGTAGTCTAAGTAAGAATGACTCCCATAGGCTCATATATTTAAATGCTTAGTCACTAGGGAGTAGCACTATTAGAAGCAAATAAAAGGATTAGAAGGGTATGGCCTTGTTGGAGGAAGTGTGTCACTAGAAGACACAAGGCCCAGACTCTCTTCTTCCTGCTACCTGTAGATCCAGACATACAACTCTCAGCTACTTCTCCAGTACCAGTGTTACCTTGCTCCCTACCATGAGGATAATAAGGACTAATCCTCTGAAATTGTAAGCAAGCTCCAATGAAATGCTTGCTTTCATAAGGGTTGCCACTGTCATGGTGTATCTCACAGCAATACTAAGTCAGCATCCAAAACAAACATAAAGAACAGTATCCAAGTATCCAATCTTCTAGAAATCAGGAAAATGTACATTAAAACTATAATGTTCTAGCACTATGTACTCACTGAACGGGCAGTGGCAAGACTGGCAAGCCAGCACAACAGACAGGGTGCTCAGAAGTAGCTGACAGATATAAACACCTACAACCCTGTTTGCCTCAAGAAATCACAGTGCATTGGTGGGAATATCAAATCAAAAAGCCTTATAGAGTGCCCACAGAGTGGAATGAACATCTAAATAGGAATAGAATCCCATGATACAGAAACATTGCTTCATGGTGGTACTTAAGCACAGTCTCAGGATCCCTATATTTATACAAGGAATACTAAGAACTATGAAGTATTTCTGTTAATTTGCCTACTGACATTTATTCCAGTAGTTTCAGGTTGAGAATACTCAAATTAGTACAGATAATTAGGCACCAATGCATAGACAGCGACACAAGAAACTCTTTAAGGATTCAAGAGGCAGACATCCCAGCAAAGGATGATAGTTTCAGTCTTACAGATCTCTTCAAACAGTTTCAGAGATTCTATAAGAATAAAAATTAACAAAGCTCCAAATATAGTGGGTGAAATAACTATAATACAACAGGAAAATAAAAAACACAAAAAGGACATACACTATGTGGTTCTCCTTACATAAGAACAGAACTAAGCACAGCAATGCTAGCACTGGCACTCAGGAAGGAGGCATTTCTTGCCTATTTAGTTACATGATGGGACCTTGGAATGTAATACCGGTTAGGATCAAGCTCTTAGGCTCAATTAATCCTACTGCTTCAATCCCCCCCAAGTATCTGGTACTATAGGTACATGACATCATGCCTGACTTATTGAAAACACCAGCTGGAAGCTGGACATTGGTAGTACTCACCCTTAATCCCAGCACTCTGAGTTCAAGGCCAGCCAGTTCTACACAGTGAGTTCCAAGACAGCCAAGCTATACAAAAAAATCCTGAGGGAGTTACGGTGGGGGAAATCATTTATTTGTATATACATTCTGTGTTTTTTCTTTGTTAATTTAGTAAATCTAGTTAAGAATTCCTAGGAACAAATCAATCTTTTCTGGTCATTACTATTTTAGCACATATTTGACTACTAGAGAATTTTATGGGAATGTTGCCTAAGAATGAGCCACAATACTTTTTTTCCTTTAGTCTTCAAAACAGTTTACCTAACAAAACCACTACTGACTCAATGAGATTTACTCTAGCCATCTTACTCTGTTTTCCACTAATCACATTTTACTTTTGGTTTGCCTTTTGTTTCTTTTGTTGGCTGACTAGCAATTTTTTTTTGGGGAGGGGGAAGGGAGGTAGGGTTTTACTTTGTAGTTCTGGCAGGCCTGAAACTCACTATATAGACCAGACTGGCCTCAAACTTAGGGATCTGACTGCCTCTGCTTCTTGGGTGCTGGGATTAAAAGTATATGCCACCATGCCCACCTACTTAATTTTTTTATAAATGTAAATAAAAAGCAAGAAAAAAAAATCACCAATACATAACAGTGCCCAGAGCACTACCTGTTAGAATTTACTCACTAGTGCCACTACCAGGGCAAGTAGAGTCCTACCTTCAGAGCAGGGTCAGTCTCAGACATGCTCTCTTTAGAAGTCCTGCTGTCCTCAGTGGGAAATGCAGCAGCCTGCTCAGCCCCATGGTCCTCATCATCCTCCAGGTCATCTGAGTCTTCATCTTCTGAGTCTATCTCCAAGCTCTCCCCATTGACATGCAGGGCATTGTCATCTAAGGCTTTCTCACCCTGGAATACAGCAGTACATAGCTCTCAGAACTACTGTTACCCAGCACACAAAAACCTAACTCATTATGAACTCGTATAATTGGAGACATAAAGTCTGACAGTACTAAGGGCACAGTGGCAACTAGCAACTAAAGTACAAACCAGAAGAAGGATTCTTGGAGTGTGTGTTGGGGTCAACAAGCCACCTACGTGAGTCTAGGCTATAGCAGAGGAGCTCAAGAACTCTAGTTCCTCCCATAGTTATTAAGGTCATTAAAGTAGTAACAACCTCAACATGTTCTTTTGGCCAAAGAGACTTTGGAAACAGGAACACATTTCAAAGAATTTGTGGCAAACAATACCCACACTGCTCTTACCTTGGTGCCCACAGTGGAATGAGTTATGCTCTTAAACATCTCAATCACTGTCCTCTGCTTTAATACTTTGGTCTTTTTCTTGGGAACTAAGCTATAGGTTCCCATTCTTCGTTTTTTCTTCCGAGATACTGCAGCTGCTAAAACAAAAGGCAAGCAAGCTAAAAAAAAAAAAAAAAAATTTCAAAAAGGGACAAGAAAGGAAAAGAAATACCATTCAAACGTTTTTAGAGATAAAATACAGGCTTTCAAATTTATCAACAAAATCATCAGCAAACCCTGTTTCTTTAAACACATTTCTACAGACATCACCAACACAAGAGGTCCTTACTTGAGACAAACTGAAGAGAAAGCTGAATCACCTTCCAAGAAGGCCAGGAACCACAATGTCATCAGAAACAAAGCCTTACGTTATGACCTGCCTACTAATAGTACCCATGGCCTTGAATACAGGAAGCTCTGCCCTGAGAAGTCCTCTCCCTCCATCATAGGCCTGAAAGCACCACGTGTGCACCAGGAAGGACCCAAGATTGAGAAGGAAGACCACTCACCAAGCAGTCTTCCCAGGATATAGAAATCTCACTTGTAGGTGGTGTCTCTGTATATCCATTTTATGGAACCTTCCCCCAACCACTCAAGCATTAAACAAAATAATGTGTTTTGTGTGGTGTGTGTGTGTGTGTGTGTGTGTGTGTGTGTGTGTGTGTGTGTGTGTTTTAAACAAGAGGCAGCAAGAAAAAATAGAGAAAGGATCTCAGAAACTCCAGACCCTTTTTAATAAAGCATCACCAGGATAAAGACTTTACATAAGGAAATTTCCAAAGTTGTGGGTTTTTTTGTTTGTTTGTTTTGTTTTTCAATTTTTAATTCCAAAGTCATAGAGCACCACTGTAGCAGAAAGTCACATTGAAGGTCTAGGTAAAAGTACATGTTTTAATTCTATAACAAAGGAGAAGTAAGAATGGAAAACATGCACAAACATGAACCATCTAAAATGAGTGAGTCATGTGAATATGCTTGCAGTACCATCTCCACAGGCAACAGTTCTATACCAATAAACGGCAACAGGGAGCCAATCTCTGTAGAACAAAGGGTATACCTATAAGCACCAATTCAGTAGTGTCTTATCTTTATAGCAGTGTCTTTTTTAACTCATCACAGTAACCCATGATAATTAATTTAACGGACCAGGGCGCTGCATCTGTTCATTAATAGAATCTAACAGGCACCTAGGCACTTATGAACAGGTGGCTGAGAGGAAACTAAGGCTGCTGCCATGTTCCAGGAAAGGCCTTCATAATATCCTGGTGGAAGGCCTAGGCCTGGGTCAGATAACTGGGATGAAAAATGGCAAAGGCCAGGAGAGGAAAATATATCAACACTGGTAATTTAGAAAGGACTCAAGGGATGGTGTCTGGTACACAGTATTAAAATAGGAACTCCAGTCTGATGGTTTGACTGAGATGTCCTCCATAAGTATCAGGCATTTGAATAGTTGGCACTTAGTGGCAATTAGAAAAGGATTAAGGGGTATGACCTTAGGCTGGATGTGGGCGCATGGGAGGCAGAGGCAGGTGGATCTCTGTGAGTTTGAGGCCAGCTTGGTCTACAAAGTGAGTCCAGGATAGACAGGGCTACAAATACCCGATCTCAAAAAACCAACCAACCAAACAAAAGGTGTGACCTTGTTGGAGGAGATCTGTAATGGGGTAAAGCTTAAGGTTTCAAAAGCCTTAAGCCACGCCCAGTACACCATCCTCAGTACATGCTCTCTGTTTGTAGATCAGGATGTGAGTACTCAGCTACTCCAGTATTATTCCTACGTGTCACCATGCTCCCTGTCATGACAGGAACCATAAGCCCAAAATGAATTCTAACTTCTGTAAGTTGCCTTGGTCGTGGTATTGTATAACAGCAATAGAAGTATAATTAAGACTCCAGTAAAGAACTCATGACACTAGCCAGCACCTCCAAGAACACTAAGATACATCAACACATCACCAAGGAAAGCACACGCAGGAAAGGATAACAGAAAAGTTAGAATACTAGAATGCAGTCAGTGTGGTGGTGGAATAGGGGCCAATCTGGCAAGATGGCTCAACAGGTAAAGGGCTTACTCTGGAAGCCTGACGACCTTAGTTTAATGCCCAAAACCCAGGTAAAATGAAATGTGAAAATCAACTCAACAAAGTTTTCCTTCAACCTTCATATGCACACTGTGGCATGCCATGTACACTCCACATCACATATACACAATAATAAATTATTTTTTAAAGGAGGAAAAAAAGAAAGAGGACAAGGAAGAAGAGGGGGACAGGCAGGCAGGCAAGCAGCTCAGACAAATCAGTTCCAAGTTCCAGAAAGTAGAAAGGGCTGACAGGAAGCAAGGGGATAAAAAAGCAGTTAGGTATATAGGAAAACTCTCTTCCTAAGACCATCAAAGCTGTTGTTACAACGTTCAAGTGATTTGCTGCTTCAAATCAGACTTATGCCATGGCTGGCCTTAACCCTGTAAACAGACCCTACAAAGTCTGAGTCAACTCTACCTTCCTCTTGTGTGTCTGACAGGCCCACAGATACTCCAGGCCTCTTTGGCCCCCACCAACCTACAAAGCCCAAATAGCCAAATGCATAGGCAAATGTAGAACTTTCCATCTGAGTGTCCAAAGATGATGGACAACACAGTACAGAGGAGCACAACAATAATCTGTAATGTCCACTTAAGGTTGGAATCTTTGGAATTAGTTCTTTTCTGGGATTGAGTTTAAGAAATACATAGCATAAAACATGTCTCAGTTATAGTTACTATTGCCATGAACAGACACCATGACCAAGGCAGCTTATGAAAGAAAGCATTTAATTGGGGGCTTGCTTATGAAAGTGAGGGGTTGAATAAGGGAGAGGGATGAGGGACAGGGAGAGGGAGAGAGAGAAAATGGGCCTGGTGTGGACTTTTGAAACCTCAAAGCCCACCCTTAGTGACATATCTCCTTCCATGAAGGCCATACCTCCTAAACCTTCCTACACAGCCCATGAACTAGGGACCAAGGATTGTCTTATTTACCTGTCCTCAAGGATGAACCATCCTGAACCATACTGCAAAACTTCCTCCCTTTTCAAAAGAATATTCCACTCTATGCACAGGCTATATTTTGCTTATCCACCTTCTGGCTAGAGTGATAAAGCTACTGTGAATGTAGATGTGTAACTATCTGTTTGAAAACCCTAATTTGTTATCTCAAGTACATATCAAAGTAAAGCCATGGATTTCAAGATCATACGTAATTTCTGGAGGAGCCACGAAACTATTTTCCATAACAATCTATCATTTACATCCTAGCCACAGTATACATGGGCTCTGGTGACCTTTTCATCACCAACACATTGCTTCTTCAATATTAAACATCTTAATATGTGGGGTAGTATCCTCATTTGGTTGATTTGTATTTCTGCTGAGCATTCATCTGGCTGTTTATATATCACCAATAGATTCACAGGAGTGGAAGGACTGCTTAGTAGTTAAAGAGCACTTACTGTTCTTCCAGAGGACATGAGTTCAATTCCCAGAACCCACATCAGAAAGCTCATAACCACATGTAGTTCTAGTTCAAGGCCCTCTTCCAGCTTCTGTGGGCACCCCACCCACACATGGCATTGACATACATATACACAAAGATGAATAAAGCAAAAATGGATCTTTTTTTTTTCTTTATTAATTCCTTTGGCCCATCAGTTAAGAGAATGTGCTATTCTTGCAAAGGGCACAGGTTCAACTCTAAGTACCCACATGGTGACTCAGAACCATCTGTAACTTCAGGTCCAGAGGATCTGATACCCTCTCTCAGGCTCTACAGGCACTGCAATCACATGGTGTAGACAGATAGGGTGACGTTTTCATTGCTGTTGAGTTATAATACTTCTTCACATAATATGGAGACCAACTTCTTGCTAGAAGACAAAAGTTTCCAAATAATTTTGCTCCATTCTATGGATAAGACTTTTCTCTTTATAGTGTCTTTTGACATATAAAATTTTTTAACTCTCAAAGTTCAATCTATCATTATTAACTTTTTTCTTCTTTGTTTGCATGTGCTTTTGGTTTGTATTTATGTGTATATATAAATATGTATGTATATGTATATGTATATGTATATGTATATGTATATTAGAATAGCTTACATGATGTGGTCCAGTTACTCCAACACAACAGAAGATACAAAAACCCAGTACTTATACAGTCCACAAGAATAGATGTCTTACCTGGTCTTTAGTATATGCCAGACTCCCAAAGAAGAATACTCTAATGTATCTCAAAGTTAAATATAATAACCACTGATATTCTAGTAGATGTTACATGATTGAAAAATTAAAAAAAAAAAAAAAAAAAAAACCAAATACATTGTTAACAAAATATAACAAAAACACTCGTGTCAATTATAATCCTCATTCTGAGGGGGCATGGTAGCACATGCCTATTATCCCAGAACTCAGGGGGACAGAGGCAGGAGCATCTCTGTGAGTTTGAGGACAGCCTTAGTCCACAAAGTGAGTCCAAGACAGCCAAGGCTACAAAGTGAAACACTGTCTCGGGAAGAGAAGGAAAAAAAAAATCCTCATTCTATAACTGGTCACATGGCCTTAGCTGGTATTTAGAACCACCTTGCCCTAAAACCCATTCTGTATACAGTGCACCAATGTGACAATAGCTGGTCATCCCAGGGAATGAGCCATATCTGAGACTCGGTGTTAGTCTCTGCTATTGACAGAACTAGCTATAAGCCCAGTACTGGTGAGGCTGGATGCCTTCATTGATTAATTGAAATCTATTTTACTTACTTACTGGGGCAGGGTCTCTAGTTGAGCCAATGCTCACTAATTGAGCTAATCTAGCTGGATCTGGAAACCTTGTCTCCTCACAAGCTAGGATTATAGGAAGGTACCTGCCTGGCTTTTATGTGAGCCTGGGTTTCTGAACACCTGTGCTTATTAACATGCATGACAAGCACTTTATCCACTGAGCCATCTCATTTGCTTCCCACACTCACTGCCTAGACTGTGCTCCACTGAATACACAGGGTTCCATGCTTGGGCCAACAAAGGGTTTTTCACATCTAATACTGAAAATCAAAAAGCTTACTGGTATCATGGATTTACATCTTCTTGAGATAAAATGAACTACGGCAGATAGCTTATCTACAGTTTCAGGCATAAAGTGCACTGTTAGCCAAAAAGAATCTTCTCATATTCTCTGCCTGCACCAAACTCACTGCTTCAACAGGAGGAAAAGGACAAAGCTTTCTGTGATAATCATTGTAGTAATATTAAAGACAACTCTGATCCCTGTGAACAAGAGGCATACAGAAGGATGGAGTCTGAACAAGCAGAAGAGGATGGAGACTATTCCAGGACTGGATCGTCACTTTTACAAAAGTGTAGCTCCCTCTGTACCACACTAATGGTGGCTTTATATGCCTGTTTAATTTTTGGCATTTTCCCAAAAGCCTGCTGTAACACCCTCAGAGTTGAGCTTCTCCATGCCAGAGACAACAGAAGGTACACCAATGATGGTAATAAGGTAAGATGGCAATGCAGGGACATACTTCTCTCTGGGAAACACAGAGCCACAGAAACTCTAGCTTCTTCTCCATCCTAGGAGGTGGGACAAGCCCTGAAGTATCAACAGAAAAACAACTTGGGCTACAGAAGAAATTGTAATCAGAGAACCAAATCATGTCAGCCAACTGCTCAAGCATAGTACATTTACATTTTGAAGCTACTTCAAGAGATGCAGACTAAAATGCCAACTATCCACTGACTTATGGGGAGAGAAGAAAACCTAAAGGAAAGAACAAGAAACAATAAATGAAACACATTTGTGCCTGATAAACAAATAGAGTATCTTGTTTTTAAAAGCTCTTATCAAAAAATAATGAAAACACTTTAACATAAAAATATCATAGTGCGTAACAGAAACACTGACTTTTAACATTCCTTACTTATACAAGTCTAAATTTACACAACTCTGAAAACTGTCAGGTTTAACTGTTCAAAACAAATAACACAGTGATAGATAGGCAAAAGTAAAAATGTGAAGTAACTGCCATGCTCCAATTAGAATACTGAGAGGCCCCTAGAAGCAACTAATATGAGCCAGTGAATGAAAAGAAGATGAACCTCAGACATCCAGTCCAATCACAAGATCTTCAAAAAGTGATGGGTTATACCCAAAGACTGGAAATAATGCAGTTGAATGGTAGCCATGACCGGCCAAACCTATGGTAATTCAAGCAGTGAAAGAATGATAACAGAATACAGCCTAGAGATTAATAAGAGAGTTTACAAATTGCTATGGGTTGTTTCTTTTGGTTTGCTTGTTTTTCAGACAAGGCCTCAGGTTGATCTTGAACTATCAATCTTCGTGGCTCAGCTTCCTAAGTGCTAGGATTAAACGCTTTGCCCCACCAGTTTAGAACCTGAAGATCTCCAAAAGTCACGTGTTAAAGGATTAGTATCTAGCATGATGCTATTAAGAAGTGAAGAGTCTTTATGGGACCCATTGAGTTCTTCAAATCACTGAAGGCATGACTTCCTATGATGCCACATAGCCAGCTTATTCAAATCAGTAGGCTCCAAGTTCAGGGAGAGACTTTAGATCAAAAAATAAGGTAGAGGGTAATGGGGAGACAGCTCTGTAAAAATACTTGTTATGCTTGCAGAGGTTTTTGGTTCCCAAAACCAACAAGTCAGTTCAAAATCATCTGTATCTCTAGTTCCTTGAGATCCAAGGCCTCTTCTAGCCTTCTTGGGCACTGTAGGCACATGGTGCAAACATGTAGGCAAAACACTCATACATAAGTAAAATTATAAAATAAAATCTTTTTAAAAGGTAGAAAACATAGACATATAACATAGAATAAACCTACTAAAATCTGTACATCTAAAGAAACTAATCAAGAGAGAGGACCCTGACTAAAATGCTCAATCCCCATCCTGAAAGGCAAAGAGGATGGACATCAGAAGAAGAAGAAAACAGGAAACAACCTAGGAACCTGCCACAGAGGGCCTCTGAAAACCTCTGCCCTACAGACTATCAAAGCAGATGCTGAGACTTATGGCCAACTGTTGGGCAGAATGAATGGAATCGTATGTAAGAAGTGGGAAATAGTAAGAGCTGGAGAGGATGGGAACCATACAAGGAGAGCAACAGAACCAGAAAATTTGAACACAGGGAACTTCCCAGAGACTCATACTCCAACCAAGGACTATTCATGGAGATAACCTAGAACCCCTGCACAGATGTAGTCCATAGTAGTTCAGTGTCCAAGTGGGTTACATAGTAAAGGGAAGAGGGACTGCTTCTGACATAATCTGATTGGCCTGCTCTTTGATCATCTCCCCCTGAGGGGGGAGCAGCCTTACCAGGCCACAGAAAATGACAATGCAGCTACTCCTGATGTGATCTGATAGACTAAGATCAGAAGGAAGGAGAAGAGGACCTCCCCTATCAGTGGACTTGGGGAGGGGCATGCGTGAAGAAGGGGGAGGGAGAGTGGGATCGGGAGGGGAGGAAGGAGGGGCTTATGGGGGGATACAAAGTGAATAAAGTGTAATTACTAAAAAATAAAAATTAAAAAAAAATTTAAAAAAGGTAGAAAACAATTAAAGAAACTCAATGTCACCTTCTAGCCTCCACACATATAAACACACATTTACAAATACATACAAACAGACAGCTTGGCAGGGAAAAAAAAAGTACTTCCTCCATCAGAAAGGTAACTAGCAGACAAAAAGCGAGAAATGGAGATAGAAACTACCAAATGGCCTGACCTTAAATGACCTTTGCTTCTGAGGACAATCTAGGGAAAAAGCAACTTTATAATGTTTGGCCCTGACACAATGACAGACCACCAATTCCGGACTATAATTTGGCCTATAACCCAAACTAGATCTGGAGAAACAGTAGGTAAACTGCACTAGACAGATTGCACAAAACAGCTAGATTGTGCTTTCCAATCCCATAGTTAGGGAAGATAAAGAAGGCTGGGATTGTATAGATTAAAAGAAATTAAATTAGCAAGACATAGCAAGCAAATGGTATAAAATCTAAGACTGAATTTGTTTGATTGTATTAATAGAAAACAGGCAAAAATTGGACAATGTATTAAGATTAAATAAAAATATCACAGTAAAATTGACTTCCTGATTTGGATTACTACATAATACTTACTCAAAGAATGCCCTTAGTTTTAAGGACATTACACCATTACCTCTAGGAAAAACAATTAGGAATTTTGAAGTACAAGTCTGTAACTAGCAACTTATGCTAGTGGTTCAGAAAAAAACAAAATAAACACTAGAAAGAGTTTGCCTAACTATGTCTTTGAATAAAAGGAATGAAAGACACACTGGAATCCTTTGTAGTGTCCACAACTTTGCTGAAAATATGAAATTGCTTTAAATTCAAGACTATTAGTTGTTCATGGAGGTACATGCAAGCCCCATCCCATACTCAGGAAGCTGAGGCCATAGAAAGGAGTGTTCAAGGCCATCCTAAGTACATAGTGGGGGAAAAAGGAGAAAGTAGAAAGTAGAAGAGGAAAGGTAAACAAAGGAGACCAAAAGAGGAAGGGAAAAAAACAAACTGTTTTAAAAGTGGGGAAAAGGGGGGCTAGAAAGAGGACTCAAGGGTTTAAGAGTACTTGCTGCTCTTGTAGAGGATCCAGGTTCAATACCTAGCACTTACACAGCAACTAAAACCATCTGTAACTCCAGTTCCAAGGGATCCAATACTCACTTCTGGCCACCATGGGCATCAGGCATGCATGTGGTGGTCCAGACAAACACTCATATATAGAAATATATGTATGTATGTGTGTATGTTTATGTGTGTAAAAAGAAGACCAGTGGACAGGTTTATTCTAAAAATAAACCTTCCAGGTTAACAACACTCAACTAAACAAACCCTTTCCAAACTAAAATTCACCACTGGTTCATGACAGAAGGAGTGGCTTATCTCCTCAGAGGAGCACTATATGCACATATGCCATGCAAACTAGTGAAAAAAAAAAAACAGCCAGGTTGAGTCTGAGGCATACCTCATGCAGAGACATAGAGGAGACCTATGAAATCTCCTGTGGGGCCTCCTGTGCTATCCCACCTCCAACAAAATACTCTCAATTTGGGGCTAGAAAGATGGCTCAGCAGTTAATCATGTATAGTTCTTGCAGAGTGTCAAGTTTGAGTTCCAGCATCCAGGTCAGGTAACTCAAAACTGTTACCTGTCTATAATTCCAGTTCTAGAGGACCAAATTCCCTTTCTGGCCTCCTTCAGCACCCTTACTCAGGTGCACATATCCACACACAAACACGGACGTAAGTTTAAAAAGTGAATAAGGCACATAGTAAGCCCAGAAGAATGAGGAGAAAAGTCCACTTGTAGCTGGTAACAAAGTTAGAGCCCTCTGTACACGTCAGCGCCTCAGAAATTCAGTCTTCAACTCACATCTCATAAGATTTTACTAAGAAACATAATGTTTACCTAGAGATTGAAGGCAAGCCAGGCAAGCAAAATAGGTGTCATAAAAATCTGATGGCAGAGGGTTTCTTAGCCATGCAGGAATATCACTTATTTCCAAAAGTGGCCAGCATTGTACTGCCTGGAGAGCAACAAGCTCAAGACACACATTGGGGTTAGGGTGGGGGGTTGACTGCATTTACCTGTCTGGGACTTTGTGGTGGCCATGTAGCATTGGTTCTGAGGTAGTGACTGGTGGAGGGCTGGGAAGGTTGGTAAAAGCTGCTGTCGTCCACAATCAGAAATGTTTCTGTTCACATCCTCTTTTGGTTCCTTATGGTCTTGAACTTCTCTGTGGTCTTTGTTAGCTGCATGCTTCAAAACAAAGACAAGTAATTAAAAAGGCTGCAGAAGCAAATGATAACTAAAGTAAGATGCATCCAAAACTCAATTATTTTTCTCCTTAATTCCCATTTACTGGAAAAAAGGCCATGGTGGAGGAAGGTAGGAAGTCTACACAAATTCACAAAGTACAACTATTAGTATAGAAGGACCTAACTCTAGAACACAGGAGTAAAATTTCCAGTCCCACTATCCTCTGCTGGATCAGGTATGAGAGCTGATTTCACAGTTTAAATGTATCTCTAGAAAACAGGTCACTTAATTATTCCCCTTTGACACTAATGATAATTTCATTCCAGATACCAACTGAGGAGAGTGGGAGGAGGGTGGAGACATGCAAAGATAATTCTAAGGGATGGGTGATTTAAGGCTAAGCTAGATCTCTCCTGGGCTGCCTTGACTCTTGTTTTTCCCAGATAGAGTTTCTGTGCATAGCCTTGGCTGTGTCCTGGACTTGTGTTGTAGACCAAGCTGGCCTCAACATCACAGAGATCTGCCTACCTCTGCCTCCCTGACTGCTGAGATGACAGGCGTGTGCCCAGCTGCTGCCTTGACTCTTAAGAGTGGTGTTAAAGGGCAGGCCCACTTCCCAATCTCCTTAACTGGTTTTCAGTCTAGCTTCCTGCAAAGTGGTTACCTGTGATACCAGTAACAGTGCCCCATATTTAACACTCCTGCCCTTCCTCCAAACTGCCTTTACACTACTAACCATCCCCTCTGTCTATACCTATAAACTCAGCAATGTTTTGAAGATAGTCTCATCTTTCATTTTAAGCCACATACAATTGAGCTTGACCTAAATTTTATTGTGCAACCAAATAACCGCCTAATAATGTAAGACATTCATAGGCAAGTCTTTCTTCAGCTTATATGGTTTCTGTAAACACAGGATATCCACATATGAAACAACAACAAAAAAATAATGCCAGGTTTGGTGGTCAGGACTTTAATCCCAGCACTCTTGAGAAGCAGAGGCGAGTGAATGTAGGCCAGGGCAATACAGTGAGACCCTGTCTTTAAAAAAGGAGTGGAGCAGGGCGCAGTGACACAAAGGCAGGCTGATCTCTGTGAGTTCAAGGCCAGCCTGGTCTACAAAGCAAATCCAGGATAGCCAAGGCTACACAGAGGAACCCTGTCTCAAAAAAAAAAAAAAAAAAGAGTGGGGAAAAGAAGAAGGGAGCTGGAGAAATGTCAGTCATTAAGAATACAGGCTGTTCTTACAGAGGATCCTGCTTTGATTCCTAGTACTCACAAAGTAACTCACAACCATTTCTAACTCTAGTTCAAGGGGATTTTAACACCGTCTTGTGGCCTGTGTGAGCACTGCATTCACATGGTGCACAACCATGTATGTAGACAAAACACATAAAAGGTTAAAAAAAATGTAAAGGAAGATATCTGGATATCTTAGCTGGATGTTGTGGCATACTCCTTTACTCCCAGCACTGAGGAGGCAGAGACAGGTGGATCTCTGTGAGTTTCAAACCAGTCTGGTCTACACAGTAAGTTCCACGACAGTCCAAGCTCTGTAGAAAGACCTTGTCTCAAACAATTAAGTAAATGAAATAAAATAAAAAGTAAAAATAAAGAGGAAGAGAAAGAGAAAGAGATAGAAGGAGACTTCTTACCTCATACCATAAACAAGAATATACAATCCACATCACATTGTCAGGCTCAAGAAAGTTCAAGTTAAATCATGACAAGGTACTGACATAGACAAGCGAACAGCAGCAGCACAAATGCTGGCAAGGACATCAGAAACCAGGTAGCTCCAACAATGAAGATGGCTTGTGAAGTAATGGAGCTTGTCACCAAGCCTGACAACTTAAAATCAATCCCCAGGACCCACATTGTGATAGAAGAGGGCCAAGTCCTGAAAGTTGCTACATATGCACAATATAAGCACTCACTTATGTACAATAAATGAATAAGTAATAAAATAAAATCTAATTTTAAAACTTTTTAAATGTTATTACTGCAAAGGCTAGAAAAGGCACATGTATATCTTAACATTATTTTTGAAGCTTCCTGTTAACTTTTTGGGCTTTTTTTCTATTAGAATATTTTAATCTATTAACTATTTTTAACAATCTCAGATTTTTCCTTTCACTAGTAGCATGTTTTAATTATACCTAATGGTAGGATTCATTATGATACTTCATACATGTACAACATGTATTTTGAGTATATTCACTCTTCATTACTCTCTTTCTGTTGTTTTGTGGTAAGATCTCTCTGTGTATCCCGAGCTATCTTAGAATTCACATCCACCCACCCCTGTCTCCTGAGTGTGCTGAAATTAAATGAATATACCACCAATCTCTTTTTTTTTTTTTTTTTTCTTATACATTTATCACCAATTATATTCAGGTGTGTCAGTCTGAATGTGGTTATGTGGCAATCGATGCAGGTACATGAGGCAGCCAGAAGCATCAGGGAGCTAAAGTTACAGGTAGTTGTAAGCAATTTGATATAGATGCTAGAAATCAAACTAGGGTCCTCTAGATGAGCAGCTGAGACACAACATCCTTGTGCTCACAGATGCACTAGGGAAACCAGGAATGTTAAGCACACAGAGTTGCTTAACATTCAAAGAGATGTACAATCTGTTTTCAGTCCAAAAACCTGGAAATGGATGTGGTTAAAGTCCTGGTGACCTCTATGCTATCTGTAGAGCCAGGCCACCCCTGGCTCCCCAGACTGTTTTATCTTAGACTCTTCCTCCCTAGGCCTTTATCTGAATCATTGTTTCTCAATCAATAATATCCATCTTTATGGAAGATGTCACATGTACTTTACAAATGGAGCAGAGGTAGTAATAGCCTGGTGACCTCTGTGTTACCTGTATAGCTAGGCCGTACATACAGACTCTTCTGTTTATAAAGCTAGCCAAGCTGGTAAAAGGGAGGAGGGACAGCCAAGGTGACCAGCAAGTGTCCCATAAAGTTGAACCTACATGAACGCCTGGCAAGAAAGCAGAACATATGGTGACTGTGGGACTCCATATAAGTAGTCACACCCTATACCCAATGCAGCGAGTATGGATACACACATTACTTGGACCATCTGAATCACTACCACAAAGATAAAGAAAGGTACTCTAGAAAAAGCAAACATGAATAAGAGCTGCAGCCAAACAAAACTCCTCTGAGGAATCAGAATTCCAAAGAGATTATGGAAGAATTGTAAAATCTCTCTATACCCAGCCATGCATTTATCCACCTATCTTCATGACTGGCTGTATGGGTATGGGTGTGTATGTATGTGAAGGGGAAGGAGTCTGTCTGACTATCTATATTATATGTCAAAATTAATAATACTAGATTTTGTAACCCAAATACTTCTCTACCTGATTTTTTGATAGAGTGTCTCTCAACACAACCCAGAGCTTAATGATTCAACTAGCCTTGGCTAGCCAGCATAACCTAGATTTCCTCCTGACTCCACCCCAGTGTCACTAGGATTACAAGCATGAAACGCTATACCCAGATTTTATGTGGGTACTGGGAGTTTGAACTCAGGTGTTTGCTTGCTCAGCAAACACTTTGCTCACTGAGCCACCTCCTTATCCATAATCAGTATACCATGTGGGATAAGATGAAATAAGAGTTGGGGATGGTGGCACATAACCACAATTCCAGAATCTGGAAGGTAGTGGCAGGAATATAAGGAATCTGAGTCTGAGTCCTGCCTGGGTTAAGTAAGGCCCTATAGCAAACCAAAAACATAAATAATACATGACTTTTTTGAGAAATTAAAAAACTAACCAGAGACTTGGAGTATAAAAAAAAAAAAAAAGGTATTTAAATTAAAAAACATCAATATAAAGGACAAAACGTAAAGGACTAAAGCATGGAGCATGAAGTAGAAAACAGGCAAGAAACACAAAGACACAATGATCACACACAAGGGATTTTATGGGAAGGAAATTAACAACCACTTATTATACATTACATGTTTCTGGAGTTGACATCACAAACCCACAGACTGGCAGAGTCTTGGGGGAAAGTTCCAAGCATGAAGCCCTGAAGGCCAGAGAGAAAACAGCAAATGGTCTGCATATAAAGGGCACTAGAAATCACAGGAAAGTGATCATGAATGTAGAATCTACCCAAGCTAAGTCCACAATCAGAAAACGAAGTAACTACTGCAGACACCTTGAAAACATGCATCAAACGCATGCCCTGTAAAACAGATTGAGACAAAGAAGTCCACCATGCTGAGTATTATGAGAACCACTGCTTTCACTCAGTGCTAGAGCCCAGAACTCATCTTGTTCTCAGAAACCCTAAACAATTCAAGACTTTCAGAAATGGCAGAAGAGAAAGTAATTTTCAGCCAGACGGTGGTGGTACACATCTTGAATCCCAGCACTCAGGAGGCAGAGGCAGGCAGATCTCTGTGAATTCCAGGCCAGCCTGATCTACAGAGTGAATTCAAGAACAGCCAAAGCTAACCAGAGAACTTTGTCTTGGTGGAATTATAAAAAAGAAAAAAAAAAAAAATAGTTTTCCTGACAGAGCCTGACCCATCTTCATAGAGCAAAAAGAATCCTTCAGGAAAAACCTTAAAAGAAGGCTTTGTTGCTCATGTATCTAGACTACTGTCATCAACTGGTTTTTCCCTTTCTTGCACGAAAGTCTATTTTTTTTTTCATTAATGCAAAGGAGAAAGATAGAAAAGAAGACAAAATTACCAGGCCCAGGATGGACTTCGGCATGGTCTTGCGTGCCCTGTGAACCCTGACATCAGTGCCCGAGGCTGTAGGCTTTTTGTCCTCTGTGTCTGCACTCCCTTCCCCAGGCACAGTAGGTGCTGTGGTTGGTATCTGAGGAAGTGTACTTGGAGTCCTGCATTTACTGGCTCCTCCAGGAAGAGTTTTTGAGGCATGACCAGGAAGCGAGGAGGCTAGCGTGTTGGGAGTCCTCAAAGGCTGCCCCTGCAGGGCTGCTTTATTTAAGAAATATCCATTGCTGCCAATGACAGAAGTCTGTATGAAGTCGTCAGCTGTGACATGGTTTTGCTTCCCCACTTCTGTGTCTCTTTCTGAAACCCCATTTTCTGCCACCCGAGATGTTCTGTTGGTACCTTCCTGTGGACTAGCTCTTGTGTTCTCCTGAGTATGTTTGGGTACATTTGGATGGCTGGTATCACCACTCTTTTCACAAGACCCATTTGTTTCTCCATCTGCAGCCATAGGAGTCTCTCCCGCCTGTTTCTCTGTGGAACCTTCATCAGCAGCCATAGGTGTATCTGTGAACAGAGGAAAGAGTGTCACCGCTGCTGGGACCCATAAATCCATGTAACTATCATCATAAATTACTTTTTTTTTTTTTTTGCTAGCATACATAGAGCTGTCTACAGTTCTGGGGTGTAGCTCAGTAAAACTCTTGCCTATGCAAGGCCCTGGGTTCAATTCTTTTTTTTTTTTTTTAATATTTATTTATTCATTATGTATACATTCTTCTGCCTGCATGTACACCTGCACCAGATCTCATTGTAGATGGTTGTGAGCCACCATGTGGTTGCTGGGAATTGAACTCAGGACCTTTGGAAGAACAGTCAGTGCTCCTAACCTCTGAGCCATCTCTCCAGCCCCCCTGGGTTCAATTCTTAGCATGCACACACACAACACACCAACAACAGCAATAAAAACACATCTATCTACAAAATTCATTTTATCTTATATACAAACCAACATTTAAAGTCCATTAGATTAAATGCAAATTTATTTTTTGAAACATTAATGTTTGGTTAAGTTTGAGAAGTTGGCCTGCTTTTTAAAAAGGCTGTTGGAGGTTTAAAACAAAGGGGGGGTAGGACATTCAAGGATTAAGAGAACTTATTGTTCTGAAAAGGACACAATTTTGGTTCCCAATTAAGCAGTCCAAGAGACTTAATTCCCTCTCTTGGCCTCTGAGGTCACCTGTACTTATGCCCACATATCCAGCTTAGACAGGACTTTCGAAGCAACATTACAGAAGCACAAAGGAAAATTTTAGGAAATTTAGGAAAGAGGATCATATTCAGTACATTTTGGACTGCATGTCTTCTCTTAGCCAGACTCCTCTGGATATTCTATCATGGCCAGAACAATAAGAAATTAAGAGCCTTCTTGATTTCAAGAAGATCTACCAAGGGGCTGAAGTAGACTCATGATCACACCCCTGAAAGCAGAAGACACTCCAGTGACATGTAAGGCTTACCCTTTACCGCCCTATCTTCAGCTCTCCTTTTCACTGTACCGATCACCTAACACACAGGATTTCCATGCCCTTCCCATTAGTTACCTGCTCTTCCCAAGAATGCAAGTTCTACAGTAGCAGAGACTGTCACTCTTATTCCTCTCAACACATAAACAAGGCCTGGGAGTATTATATACAATACAACCTTTCTAAATGAATAAACAGCCATTAGTAACTTTTTAAACAGGTAGCAAAATAAAGAAATGTAAAACATTTCCTTAACTTGTAGGTTATACAGCAAATTCTGCAGTCAATGTATACTCACTCAAAATAGCATAGATGTCCATTAATGCTTCTAATATTTGGCACATAAAGATATCCATTAATGCTTTTAATATCTGGCACATAAAGAAGGGTTTGGGTGACAGCACCAGATAAGAAAAAGAAATGCAAAGATAGTGAGGAAGACACAGGATGCTTTACCTTATCTGATAAAGATACAAGCACAAAGCCAGATTACTGGATTCAGAATTAAGTGACATGGCTGGTCATAGTATATATATATACTGTACTACTGAGCTATAGTAGTATATACTATATAGTAGTATAGTATACTATACTATATAGCACTTGTAATCAACACAGGCACTAGGCACTTATGCATTCTGGAAAATACTGTACTACTGAGCTATAGTAGTATATACTACTATATAGTAGTAGTATACTAAAGTAGTATAGTATACTATATAGTAGTAGTATACTATAGTAGTATAGTATACTATATAGTAGTATAGTATACTAAAGTAGTATAGTATACTATATAGTAGTATAGTAGCAGTATATTATATATATTATATTAATATATTAATATAATATATACTATATTATATATAGTGTATATTATATTATATAGTAGTAGTATGTAGTATATTACTATATATTATATACTATATTATATATTATATAGTATATAGTATATTACTATATATATACACTACTATATAGTATACTATATAGTAGTGTATATATATATATATTACTACTATATAGTATATACTACTATAGCTCAGTAGTACAGTATTTGCCAGAATGTGTAAGTGCCTAGTGCCTGTGTTGATTACAAGTGCTGTCAAAGGGGGGGGGGCCTACAAAAATAATATCATTTCTCTATACCAACATTAATTTTAAAATATAAGAAAGCATGCACTGTGGAGCACACATTTAATCCCAATATTCAGGAGGCTAAGGCTAGCCTGGTCTACACAGGGCGTTCTAAGACAGCCAACGCTATATAACAGAGAAGCCCTGTTTCAAAAAGACAATTTATATGTGTGTATGTATATATGTAATATATTCACATTTATAGACACTATTTTATATGTATATAAACACTGTCTTTGAGACAGGGTTTCTCTATTAGATATAATCTGTAGTTTTCTTCCTTTTGCAAGTATCCCATTATATGTACATATAAATAAATAAATATATATATATATATATATTAATGGTTTCCTCTGAATATAGGCATTAAATGATTCGGCTTTAAAAATAAATATTTTTATTTTCCTTCTTTTGTAAGTATCCTATTATATATAATATCCATTGTATGTATTTGCAGCTTTCTTTTTGTAAGTATCCTATTATATATATAAATATATATTACATAGACCATAATATAATGTAATATATAAATGTTTTCCTCTGTATACAGGCATTACATAATTTGGCTTTAAATATATATAATATATATTTGTACTTTTCCTCCTTTTGTAAGTAACCTGTAATACATAATTATATATATATGTATAATATCCTAGTTTATAATTACATATATTAGGATACTTACAAAAGAAGAAAAACTGCAACCACACACATTTTTTAGAGCTGAATTACTCAACACCTATGTACAGAGGAAAACATTAAGAGAGAATGTTCTGGAACCAGGTAACAAAATAACAAAGTCAAGTCCCCTGACTTTTAGAAATTCAGTGATTTTAATCAGAGTTGCAATTAATGTATTAATAAATTCCATGACCTTAACCTAAAATATATCAAAAAGAGTAAAATTTCAAAAATAGTAAAGTATACCATGAAAATGAATAGTAAAGGCTAGAAAAATAAGCTCTCCACAGAGAAGAGTCACATGACCCAGGCCAATCCACAGCATGAAGAGCAGAAGCAGCATACTGAGGACAAAGGTATGTTTATCCAGAGGCCTGTTTGGGTGCAACTGAGAGTTACAACTTGCAAGCCTTAGCCAAACTATGACATGTGGTCTCACCTCAAAGTTCATAAAGAAAATGTAGAGAAACAAACAATGGTGCATAAACAGAAAATTCACAAAACATCACAAAGACTATAAATAAACATGGAGTTAAGATAATTATTCAATTCCAAGAGAAACTTTTTTATTACAGTATAAAACTGGACCATGTGCTGGGGAAAAGACCTCTAGCAACTCTTCCAGAGGATTCAATTCCCAACACCTACAGAGTAGCTCATAACTGTCTGTAACTCTAGTCCCAGGGAATCCAATGTCTTCTTCTGGCCTCCATGCAAATGTACACACATGTACAAAGACATACATTGAGAAAAGTCACATAAAGTTAAAAAAAATTTAACTGTTTAAAAAGAAATTAAGCTATGTAGACTAGGCTAGCCTCAACTCATAAACATCCATACCCATTTGTCTCTCTTTCCCATGTCCTGAAGCTAAAGTGTATATACCACTATGCCTAGTATCTAATTTTTAATACTACAACAACAACAACAAAAAAAAAAACCCTGAATTGACAGGTAATATAATCTCAGGCTAAAAATGCCTATAAGCAAGCAGTCCTTGCCACAAAGTCACACTTAACTAAAAGTTAATGAATCAACAATCTTAAATAACAAATAAATAAATAAGAGAGAGAGATAAGCCAGGTATGGTGGCACACACCTCTAGTGCCAGCAGTTGGGAGGCTGAGGCAGGCAGATGTCTGAGTTCAAGGACAGCCTAGTGTACAAAGTGAGTTTCAGGATAGCCAGGGCTACAAAGAGAAAACCAAAAACCAAAACAAAACAAAACATAAATCTCAGCACCTACTTTTAAAACAAATAACCAGATTCAACATACCTAATCCACCCACACCGTATTCAAAATACCCATCATCCAATCAAAACTAGATGTGCAAAAAGGCACAATTTATAAAGAAGTCAGCTGTCAGGCATTCAGTGACAGCTGGTAAAGTGCTTAAAGGGAAACATATATGTGGGGTATCTACCTACCCAAACAGACCTACGGAGACGAGCACCTACTATATGAAGAAAACTGCCATGCAAAGAAACGAATAGCAGATCAGACAAAGCTCAAGATGGAGATCTCAAAGACACAGACTAAAGAATCTATACCAAGAGGGGGGAAGAAAAAAAAAAAAAACAAAACAAAACACCTAAAAAGCAAATGAGCTGAAACTTAAGTGAACAGTAAAGCACGTTACATGCTTGGAGAAAGAAAAAAAATATTATGTGTTTTATATATATATATTTCTTGCAGAACAGCTTGCTTCCTGGTATCACCCTCACCCTAACCTTTCAACATGCTGGAAACCTCTTCTATGAACTCCAAGTTTCTACTTCACTTTGGTCAGAATGTCATATAAACGGAGTCACATAATGGGGCAATGATGGTGCATGCCTTTAATACCAGCACTCTGGAGGCAAAGGCAGGCAGAACTATGAGTTCAAGCCCAGCCTCCACTACAAAGTGAGTTCCAGGACAGCTAGGGCAACAAAAAGAAACCCTGTCTTGAAAATAAAAAACAACCATAAAAAGGACACACAGTATGTCCTTTATATCTGGCTTTCTTAATTTTGCAAAATACAATTACACTATGTTCAGGTTGTTGCATGAACCACACAATTAACCTATGGTGTGTATCACAGCTTGTTTATCCAGTGTTATCAGCTGGAGACTGGGTACATGTTCCAGCATCATAAATAGAGATGCTACAACTGTTAGTGTGATTAGTCATTTTTTATTTCCAGGTGCACTTTAAAACAAGAATATACATGATACTTGCTTTTCATAGTTGGTTGAGATTTTTCTTTCTCTGGCACATCTTTTGCAAATGTGTGTGTCTGTGTTCACGTGCATGCATGCCAATTCAGGAATGAAAGAAATTATTAATTATACTGCAATCCTAGGAAAATTCCAAGAGAGTGAAAAGGCTGGGAGAGATAATAAAAAGGGTGCATGCAGCAAAGGCCCTGGGTGAACTGGTCCTTACCTTCCCTTAGCAGGTCAGATTTCATGCAGCAATCCTGCTTGGTCTCTTGCTTGGCCAGAACTGCCTGCTGGAGTGGGGAGAAAAAATAAAATAAAAAATTGGCATCAACCAGGATACATCAGGGACATCTTCAAATCTAATCAGTTACAAAGGTCATCATCTTTCCCAATAGGGTTTAGCACAATCACCTCCAGGAAAGAGAACTAGCATTCAGAAAACAGTCCACAAGAGAGTATGCCAAGCCTGAACAACATCCTTTTTTGTTTTTCAAGACAGGTTTATTCTGTGTAAACCTGTCTGTCCTGGAACTCACTCTATAGACCAGGCTGACCTCTTAACTCACAGAGATCTACCTGCCCCTCCTGGAATTAAGGGTGTGCACCAACACTGTCCAGCATCTGGACAGCATTCTTTATTTTTTTTTCAAGATTTATTATTTATACAACATTCTGTCTGCATATCAAATCTTACTATAGATGGTTATGAGCCACCATGTGGTTGCTGGGAATTGAACTCAGGACCTTTGGAAAAACAGCCAGTGCTCTTAACCTCTGAGCCATCTCTCCAGCCCTGAACAGCATTCTTAAGAATGTGTTTATATCCTGCTTACATAATCAGAAATCTGAAATGCTTTGACTCTATTACAGCAATTTACTTTGATATGCAACTATTCTCTTTTCACTTACATTAAAATTCATTTTGTTAACTCTTTTTAAGTATTTCAAGTGCCTAACACCTATCAAAAAAAGTTACAGCAAGGATGGAGGTTGAAAAGATAGTTCAACGGTTAAAAGCATGTGCTGCTCTTCCAGAGGACAGAAGTTTAGTTCTCAGCATCCCATGAGGTGGCTTATAACTACTGTAAGTGCAGCTCCTGGGGATCCAATGTCCTCTTCTGGACACCAAGGATAATACACCCAAGTACCCATAACCATACCTAACCATACACATATATGCATAATTTAAAAAAAAAAATAGGTATGGTGTGTGACACACATTTTTAATCCCAGCACTCAGAAAGGAGAGAAGTGAGTAAATTCAAGGCCACCCTGGTCTATATAGCAAGTTCCAGGCCAGCCAATACTACACAGTGAAACTCTCTCAAAATAATAATAACTTTTTTTTTAAGTTGTAGAAATGGGTAAATAAGAAAATTCAATTTGACACTTAAATTACTATCTATTTGAGCTTAAGTATACACCATGTAGATGGATATATTATAGTTCCAAGGACTTAAACACCTACACTCCTCCTGAAGTTTCAAACTTAAAAAAACAACAACAACAACAAAAAACCAAAAAAACTTCAACTTGTAGAACCTAAAGGAATAAATGACCCCACCACCATACTTTGGATAATCTCCAGAATAATATTTCCTGCAAAGACCACCTAAAAGCTTTCTTAGAACATCAGTGAACCTTCAGCTCACTGCTAATTCTACTTTACCTGAAGCTGCCAAGAACAGACTCTTCTTTGCACTCAGAGTCTATACAAACACCTTGAAAAAAAACAAACAAAAAACAAACAAACAAAAAAAAAAAAACTCCTGCTGTTCTCCTCCCTGGAATCAAGCACCTGCCATTCCCAGTGCTTCCCAAATATTCCTCTTGAAAAAACTGGTTATCTTCATTATACTACCAGAGACGCACAGACTGTGTCCACTAAAAGACACACTTCCTCCTTCCCATCCCAAGCTAGTCCACCACTTTTCCAAGAAGGACCTAACAGAGGGTTTTAGGATAGTCTAAGAACACTAGAACCAGGGTTTTTCTTCAGGTGTTTGCACAGACACTCGGGGAAGAGGTGCTAATGGAATTCAATGTTCCTGCTCCTGACCTACTGGGAAAGTAATGGATGCTTACAGCCATCTTTGCCAATCCCTTGGGAGTACAGGTCAGTCAGGACCACTGAGTACAAATCCAGTCCCATGGAAAATCTCAGTAGACATATATGTCTTGTTCCACACCCGTCAATCTCAACTCAGAGTTCTGAGACCAGACCAACTAAATGTGGTTTTACATCTTCAAAGACTGGTGAACAGTGACAGCATTGACAAAAGACAACATACTGATTATTACGTTGACGGGATCTAAAAATGAGCAAGAAACAAGCCTTTGGACATGACTATGAAGAATTTTCTAGATTAGGTTAACTGAGGTAGTAGACAGTTACCTCTAATTGTTACGTAGACACAACTGAGAATTACCAGAGAAGAGAGGCTAAATTAAACATGAGATTGTTTTCACAGTCCAAGAATGGAGTCATAGGAAGGGACTTCTGAGTACTTGTGAGAAAACTCCAAGAAAACAAGGCAAGAGTAGAGTGACCTCAATTTCTTCAAAAAACACAAAATGGGGCTGGAGAGATGGCTCAGAGGTTAGGAGCACTGGCTGTTCTTCCAAAGGTCCTGAGTTCAATTCCCAGCAACCACATGGTGGTTCACAACCATCTATAATGAGGTCTGGCACCTTCTTCTGGCATGCAGGCAGGATATTGTATAAATGATAAATAAATCTTTAAAAAAAAAAACCCTTAAAAAAAACAAAAACAAACAAACAAACAACAACACAGAACTGTAGTTGGAATGTGCTTCCATGCCCCTCACAGCTGTAGTAGATAGGAGTGAGCTTACTTTAGATTATTCATTAAAACTAGCTATTGTTATTTTTTATATACATCTATGGAAAAACATGGGGTTTTTTGTTGTTGGTTTGTTTGTTTGTTTTGCCACATTTGGCTTGTCTTTGTCGACTGAACAGCTTACTCATGTGATTCTTCTTAACCCTCTGAGTATAAATTGTCTGATGCTCTAAAGTAAAGCTGGCTATTGCATGAGACTTTAGTTTACCTCGTTTTTAGGCTTCATTCTCCCAGGTCCCACTACCAGTACAGCAGTAAACAAGTTGGCATGTTTTAGTTAACTGATATGGGAAGACCCAACCCAATGTGGGTGGCACCATTCCTTAGGCATAGGTCCTAAACTGTCTAAAAGTAGAAATAGAGCTTAGTGGTAGCAAGCAGGGATGTATACATTCATTTCTCTCTGCTTTTGAATGTGGTTATGTGAGTAGCAGCTTCTCCCCTGCCTTCACTTCCCCACAATAAGGAACTGAAACCCAGAATTGTTAGTTAAAACCAACCCTTTCTCTCCCAAGTTGCTTTTTTGCCAGGAAATTTATCACAGCAACAGAAACGAAACTAGAACAAATGGAAAGGCACAGTTACATGTGGTGAAATCCTGGGCTAAATAAAAAGCAAAGAAGTAGACCACAAGCATTCATCTCTTTGCTCCCTGACAGACTACAATATAACCAGCCGCCTCAGCCGCTAATTACTATTTCCCTACTATCATGGGCTGTGTTCTCAAACTGTACATCAAAACAAAGCCTCACTTCCTTACATTGTTGTCAGGTATTTTGTTCTAACAAACAAACTAATACACCCTTGATCCTGCTGGAGGAAAAGAAGCAAAGGCAATACCTTGGCAAACACACCCAAGCCCAGTTGGCACCTCTTGTCCCTCTGCCCCGATTTATATGGTCCATCTGTCTCCTTTCATGAGACAGCAATGGTCTTGTACCTCTAGCATGTCCACAGTAATAAGTAGGAAGGGAGAGAAAGAGTTGGCAGGGGTCATCCTGCAAGCCTCTACCTCAACTTGCACATCTGCTCTTCACAAAACAGAGTTGAGGCACTCTAGGAACACCCCAGACACATAATCATCACTGAGTAGTCAATGACTGTCATAGTCTGGATATAAAAGGTCGCACCCTGTCCTGAAAGACTCATTGTTAAAGGTTTGGCTTCTCATTTGAGGCATTGCTAAGACCTCACAAAATCAGGAGGGCTTTAATCTAATCAATGGTTAAGTTCAGGGTTATGAAATTGGAGGGAAAAGGTTATTTGATACATATATGAAAGGATATATATTGTCTCCAGACAATTCCCACCTCTTTGCTTCCTGGATGCCGTGGAATGAGCAAGCACAGGCATGCAATGTCCAAGAAAGGTAGTGCTAAAAAAAGAAAAAGAAAAAAAAGAAAGAAAGAAAGGTAGTACTGAAAAATAACAAACACAGCAATACCTGAAAAGCTCCTGCTACTAAAGTATAGGATACTTGGAGTATCAAGAGATAGATTATACCCCTCTAACACAATGATGATGGCTAAGTTCATATGACTACTAAATAAATTCATGTGTAATAGCAAATGAAGGCAAAATTCTTCATACTAGAATGCCAAGTAATTAACACACACACACAAAAGATGAGAGTTATAAGTCACTACTTTACAACACCACCATACTGGCTCAAATCTGATGCGTTAACGAATACTAAACCTACTTCGTTCAAGTTTGGTTTTTAAAAAATACAGCAAGGTACTTATAAGCCAGGTATAGTGGCCTACACCTATGATTTCAACATTCAAAAACAGTAAAAATTACTTTGAGTTCAAAGGCAACCTGTACTCATAGCAAGATCCTGTCAATGGAAAAGAAGGAAAGAAAGGCAGGCAAGCAGGCAGGCACAACTCATCTCATAAGCATTCTTAATTGCAAAGAGAACAAAAAAACAAAGCATTATCTCAGTTCACAACTAATCTTGACAAATACCATATACTTGATGAACACATCCTATATACACATAATTACACTTGTGTAGTTTCCTCATGAAGGAATCAATTACACAAAAGTACATGGCAAATTCCAACTGAAGCCCTATAGAAAACAGGTGGCCTAAACTTTTCAAAAACACTCTTCCAGAAGCTGGAGAGGTGGCTCAGTAGCAGCACTGACTGCTCTTCTGGAGAAACCAGGTTTGATCCCAAATGGCCTGGGTTCAATTCCCAGTACCCATATGGTAGCTCACAACTGCCTGTCCCAGTCCCAGGGCTGACATTCTATTCTGATGTCTGCAGACAATGCACACACATGATACAGACATGCATGCAAGCAAAACATGCATTGAATAAAGTAAATAAATAGACCATATGAACATTTTTTTAACTACTATAGTATATGCATGTGTATTTGAGTTTAGGCACATGTGGGCCATGGCACACAGATGGAGGTAAGAGGATAATTTTCAAGATTCAATTTTCTTCCTCTATAATAGGTTCCAGTGATCCAACTCAGGTCATCAGGATTGTACAGCAAGCACTCTTACCCACTGAGTGATCTCCCTGACCCAACCCTCTCTTTAAAAAAAAAAAAAAATCTTCAAAGATCTTTCTAACCCTAAGTTGTTTTCCTTTCTTTTTTACATTTTTTTTTTTTTTTTTTTTTTTTTTTTTTTTTTAGTATTTGTGTGTGTGGTTCACATGCACACACATGCACAGATGTCTTCAGAAATCAGAGGACAACCTGAAGGAGTTAGTTGTCTCCTTCTACTATATGAGGTCCAGGTACTTATTATTGTTGTTGTTGTTTGTTTGCTTGCTTTAGTGTGCTGTTGGTGGTGATTAATATTTACCATTGATTCATCTTTTATTTAAGCAGCGGTTATTTCTAATCCAGCTGTATATCCAAATCACCACACAAGAGACTTGGATTTATTTAATTAACCTAGAGCACAATGCTGGGGCAATAGTTATTCCATCCTAAACCTCCAAGCCCACACAGTTTCCTACCACTCAGATTTCACCCATTATACTCACTTTTAGTCAAAACTTAGGTCCAGTCCCATGTGGAACCATGTGGAACCATGTGGAGAACATGGTTCCCAGATGTCTCCTCCTTCTTCTCCTGCTTCCTTCCTCTTCCTCCCCCTCCACACCAGGATGTCCCACCTATCCTCTCCATTGCTCAGCATTGTGGCTGGTTGTTTTAATTGACAATATAGAGAACAGATGGTGGCACGACTACAAAAACCTGAGACAGGTGATGCTTAGAATAAGCATCACAATGCAATGTCTGGATTGAAACCAGAGAGTGGGGGAGAGAAATGAGTATTTTAATAAACAAGGGTAAACTGTTTACCCTTGTTTACCCTACAAAAAAACATTATACCAAAAGTGTGCATTGGTGTTTTGTCTGTATGTGTATCTGTGTGAAGGTGTCAGAACTCTTGGAGCTGGAATTACAGACAGTGGTGAGCGGCCTGCCTCTGGAAGAGCAGGCAACATTGTTGCCATCTCTCCAGCCTCCTGATTGTTTTAAATAAAAACAATATATACATAGCATTTTAATTGAATAAACTTCCCTCATGAATGACAGAAAAGTATTGCTTTTCATCTACGCTCATTATTTATCCTTTGCCATTCTAACCTAAAATGACTTTGCATGAAATACAATTTGTCATAATACAGTTAAAACTAAATTTCACAACAGATTTAAGATGCTTTCTAAAAAGCCAGGCACAGTGGTACACACCTGTAATCCCAGCACTCAGGGAGGCAGAAGCAGGCGGATCTCTGTGAGTTCAAGGCCAGCCTGATCTACAAAGGGAGTCTAGGACAGCCAAGTCTACACAGAAAAACTGTCTTGAAAAACAAAAAACAAAATAAAGCAAACAAACAGAAAAGGTACTTTCCTATATTAGTCAATATATATTAAACTAAAATTTTCCATACATTATTAACTTCATTTTTTTGTTTGTTTGTTTTTTCAAAACAAGGTTTCTCTGTGTAAAAGCTCTGGCTGTCCTGGACTTCCTCTGGCTGGCCTCAAACTCACTGAGTGCTGGGATTTGCTGGGGTTCCAGCAAACTTCAAACTTATTGAGGGGCCAATTGCTACCTGTCCAGGAAGATGACCAAGCATTTCTGACACTTAATTGCCTGCTCCTACCTAACTTCATTACATCTGCACATCATGTATACCTGACATCACCTAACAAACATGACACCTTCCTACAGAGAGGGAAAAGCAGGGCACATCTTTAGGTAAGGCTCCCTCCCCATGTCAGCATTCCAAGTATTTGCCTATCTATTTCTGTCAAACTGTTGATTTTGGATTTTACTAAAAAAAGTCTAAAAGAGAGAAATACAGAAACTTAGAAGCTGCCCTTTGCAAGATTCCTAAAATTCAAACAAAGACAAATAAGGACTAGATGTACTTTGGAAAATACATGTTAAATTTACTCAAAAACAAAAGACTATCAAAATAATAGTATTTATATAGCTATTACCCATACACATACACACACACATTTTTGTTTTGTTTGTGGTTTTGAGGCAGGGTCTTACTATGTTGCCCAGGATTGGCCTCATACCTGCAAGCCTACTTCCTCAGCCTCCTGAATACAGTGCCTTCATTCATGCCTAACTTAACTTTGTAGACTAAAATTTTACAGACAGGGAAGAACTAATGGAATTACTTCAGCTCTAAACTGTGTGGAACAAAGGCCCAAAGAGAAGACATCTGCTCTGTACCTACCAGAAAGCCTGACACACAAATGGGGACTTGGACTGAGTAGTGAAGCTCCAGGCAGGTAGAAGTACCCTGCCCAACTGCTACTAGGCCTCCAAGAACACTGCCCTGGCTGCTTTACCTTAAAAGAACACAGAAGCTTTTACACCTTCCGAGGTTGGCTGTCACAGAACTAACACACTTAAAAAGTGACATCTGATCCTGCTGTCCACAGCATTTTGTAATCTGCCTTATCAACAGTTCACCACAGACAAGGACTCAACATCTGTAGAAACTCTCTTCGAGAGTAGTTCCTATGAGAGTCTTTTTTATCATAGCTGTGTAGCCCTCCAGAAGGCTGGTATTCTATAAAATCTTCCCCACCCTGTGAAACTCTTATGTTTCTTATTCCCGTACACCTACCCCTGCCCCACACCAGACATTGTTCTATCATGCAATTTCCTTTTGTGCTGATTATGAATTAGTCAATCACATCATATTGTGAGGATGAGCTCCCACCAATGGAGTGAGACACAGTCATCAATCTGCATTAGGACAAAAGCCAAATGAATCTCCCACTCCAAGTTTGGATTACTGGGCACCCTTTACAAAAGCAAAATTACCTTACCAAGGTACTTTCACTTTGCTGATCTGTCTCTTTGTCTAACACCAGGAATAGTCTAATATTCTTTTCCAACACACACTCAAATGCCATCATTTTATTCTTCATTCTAATCATTTAGTCTGTGTTCTGAAATGTGACTAAAAATGTTGGCTGAGCCTAGCTTTATGTAAGACGACATGAATGGCACCGGCAGAAATATCCTCTTGCCATTCTCATTTGCCCTACCAAGAGCACAAAAGAATTTCTCATCTCAGGATCTGAGATATGTAAGACAGATCTATACATAGTAGATGCTATCAACAAATTACTGGTCATTTTATATTTTTCCAACTGTAAAAACAGCATTGTGATTCTTTAAAAATTCAATTATTTTATCTAATTGTGTGTGCATGCACATGTGCCACAACATGCACGTATAGGTCAGAAAACTACTTGAGGAGTCAGTTTTCTCCTTCCAACATGTGGATCCCAGGGACTGAACTCAGAACTCAGGCAACCAGGCTTGGCAATGGGTGCCTTATCCCACTGAGCCATCTCACGAGCCTGACTATTCTTAAACTTTGCATTTTTAATATGTACTGTCTTAGTCACTGTTCTACTGCTGTGAAAAACCTCCATAACCAAGGCAACTATTTAATATAAGGGAAATCATTTAATTGGGGGCTTGCTTACAGTTTCAGAGGTTTAGTCCATTATCATCATGGCAAGGAGCATGGTGTCAGACAGGCAGGCACCACAGCAGTAGAGCTACATTTTAATCCATTGGCAGAGCTCTTGGATACTGGATACTTGGATACTGGGCCTGGCATGAGCTCTTAGAATTTCAAAGTCCATCCCAAGTAGTAAATTTCCTTCAGCAAGGTCATACTTCCACATGTACTAAGAACTTAAAGGTGAAAATTTCATGACACCTCTGACATAAGAGCCCTGAGCACAACAGCAACAAGAAAGGAAAAAGGTCCAGAAGAAAAGAATATAGATACTGCAATCACCACACAAATTCTTAGTTTTCCACTTACTATATTATTC